AAATACTGCAGTGGCTTTGAGAATTTGGACGCTCAATTTTGTTTATGCGATTTGAGGTTAAAATTTTGCTACTTCTTTCACCCTTTCTCTAATCGTAATACATAATTGGTAAAATGTTAAAATCGTAAACACATACTCCCTAAATCAATTTAGGTTTGTGGGAAACTGCCCACCTACCCCTCCCCTAAGCTAACATTAACACTTACTCCTTACTTTGGGCAAAAGGATGGCTTAGGGGAGGGGTAGGTGGGAAGTTTCCCAGTAACCTGAATTGATCCATGTCTTCTTATAAAGGTGCTTTTAATAACAACTTACTGCATATATTTGACACTCTCTGTTTTATGAAAGTAATGATGCAAAATGTTAGCTATTGAAACATCTGGGAATTTGGAATAGGAAACACGTGGTTCGTATTCCAGTTCGGAGCATGCGTTGCTGCAGCTGGAACATGACGTTATATTAAACTGATCTGAAAATAAACAAGAGGTGTAATAGGTCCCAAACTTTCTACAATTGATAACTAAAAATATAAGCTATATATTTTAGATATTTTATAGCTTTTAATATTTTAATCTATCTGACATTTTAACATTTTTAACCTGTATCTTGCATAATTTAATAGGTTTCTAGTTCTTAACTTTTTACTTATTATTACTATTACGCATTCATTTATCTAAGATCATCTATTTTTTCTATTGTTTTACAGGGCCTCACTGAATATCACTCTTTGTGAAGTGAGCTTCCTGTATAAAGATTGTTAGTATATACACACTCAGTGATCTTATTGATTTAAGCAATCTGATTCGTTCGCTATCTCGGACTATTCAGCAGTATTCACCTCCTAGCGAGTGGATAATGTGTGAGCTCGGTGTTTTTCTCATTTTTTTAGAGAACGATCTTTTAGAAGTCGACAAAATCCTAGGGCTGACTTTTTTTTAAGGCAAGAAAAGACTTGGAAGGATTCAATACGGCGTTTTTCAATTTACAGTAGCTGAGTTTTGTGCTGGATGAATTGTTTACAACTCCCGTGTGTTCGCGTAGAAGAAGCCGTTTCGTGAAAAACTCAGCGTCTTCTAACAAGAAAATTTTGGCTCAAAAATCGAAGTTTATTTATGACAAACAAATTTAAAAGGAAATGTTAGCAGAAATTCTACGTTTCAAGTAAACAGGAAAAAGAATGATACAGGAAGACGACGTCTTACCTCGAGCAACCGAGCCGCCATTTTTGTCAGCACTTCATGCGAAGAACGACACAACAAACCCTTTTGGCTATAAACTTGGCGAGTCAACAGAAAACAACAAAGCTCTACTTTTCTTCTCAGGTAAGGAAACAGTTCAAACTTTTAGCGGTTCCATTTAAGCCATTACGCTGTTGTTTGCGAAATGATAAACTTGTGAATTGCCATGTTTGAAAATTCTGCAAAGATCTATTTTTAAAATTACGCGTCATTTGATCTGTCAATCAAATCGTGCTTTTTAATGGTTTCCTCTCTGATTTTGTTGAGATCATTTCGTGTGTATATACTAAAACAATTATTCTTTTAAATCTCGGTGAATAGTGGCTTTGGGAACATTTACCTCGCCTCTTTCGCGGCTCGGTAAATATTTTGCCACTTTTCACCTCGATTTCAAAGAATAATTGTTAATTATTATTATTGTTGTTGTTATTATTATTATTGTTGTTGTTGTTGTTTTTATATACTATTGTTATTATTATTATTATAATGTTATTATTATAATGTATAGTACACCTTTCCTATTATTATGAGTGACAAATGACTCTTTAATTATGGCGAGAAATTTCACGGTTAATTTATAATTTGACATCTGAAAGTTTGTCTCAGCGCCAAGATGGCGTTACGGTTTTAAAATGTTGTGAATGAAGATGCCAGGGCATTAAAAGACGCTTTAGAAAACTTAAACACAGGAAAGAGATCTAACAGGTTTTTCGTCGAAGATTTAAGATAATTGTGAACTTATTAAGCCCAAATTGATGCGCTAAAATTTTCAGTGAGTGTAGCCTGAAAATAGAGAGCTGAAAAGCAACAACGACGGCGACGGCTACGAAAACATCCCTTTTATAGTGAAACACGGTATACAAGGAACTATTAGTTACAAAAAGAGTTCTAACAGGTTTTTCGTCGAAAATTGAAGATAATTGTGAGCTTATTAAGCCCAAATTTATGCTCTAAAATTTTCAGTTTAACAACAATAACAATAAACTTTATTTGCATGACCGTAACAAAGTATTACAGTATCGCAAAAGCTACTTGAAATTAAACGTTGATTCCTTGTAAATTAAATATTTAAAATAATTTGAAACGTATTAATCGTTGTTTATTTCTAACCATCAGTAGGATTAATTATTCCGGAGATAAGTTTGTCTCTCAATTCAAAGCAAGTTGATATAAATGAAATTAATTGGATGTTAATAAAATAGTCAGTAGAATTCATCAGATGTGATAATAAGGACTCATGTGATTGTAGTCTTAGAAACGGTATTTTAGGTTCTAGTTTAGAGAAGAACATATCTCTTATCGAAGAAAAACTTGGACAATCTAATAAAAGTGAGTTTCATCTTCAATTCTTTTACAATTGCAGAGATTGCATAACCTTTCGTCACGTGGTATTGTATATTGTCGTATCTACCTGTCTCAATCCTAAGTTTGTGACTGCCTATTCTCGGTTACTGTAGCCTGACTCCCCCCCCCCCCGAAGTAATATTAACGATTACGAGAGTAATTTTTCACCCATGATATTAATAGGTATAGTCAAGAAATGATCCCCTAATTTCACTCTTCATCTTTTCATTACACTTGAAAGCAGTAAGTGTTAGCAAGAGCCATAATCATGGCTTTCAGTGTTAGAAAATTCAGGCCCGGCCAGGGGTTTTGGGTATACGGTATCCCGGGCCATTTTAATTCAGGTATATGGTATTTTTTGGTGAAAATTCGGAAAAGAGTATTCAGTTTTTCCTGAATTTTAGGTATTCGGTATATCGGACAGAAATCATTAAGAAATGTATTACTTCATTTCTCAGTTTTATTATCGCTCTAATGCTGACTAGAAATAGTGCGGATGCTCGAAATTGTGTTTAAGCCCTAATCAAATACTTTCAAAACCTGTGGCTTTTTCTGTCAGCCTTCAATCTGACTGGGACAACCACAAGGTTAAGTTTTGATGAGACAGTTACCCGCGTCCAGCATTACCACGCTTTTCACGAGAAGCCTCGTTGAAAGTTCACCGCGGTATCAAGGGCTCAACTTCCCAGACCCAAGGACCATACTGAACACTATCTGCTACTACACTGAACTCCGTGAAGATGATACTGGAAGACCTCACTAGACTGAGGACAAAGGTGATGGAACTCAATCCAAACTTCATTCAACACTTAGACGTTGAAAGCCTTTTAACTCTTTTTGTTGAAAACTTCTTTTCCAGTATGAGAGGGGGTATTTAAACACGGACACTCCCATGATGCTCGACATTTGCTTGCGTTTTCCCCGCTGTATTAACGAATTATTAAAATGTGTCACAGGTACGAGCTAGAGGTACTTTACAAATCCAGTTGCCTCGTACTACCTTCAGCCTACTTTAAATGATGTTGATATAAACTTGTGCGACCTTGCGAAATTATAGAAGCCTTTGTCGGGTTGCTTATCCAAGAAGCAATTGGATGAGATCCGTCAGTGGGTACAGCAGTACGGTAAGAGTGTCAGACAGAATACCACGAGGAACCTTTCAACAAAAGACAAGCCAGGCACCTTGCCATTGAACCTCTACGAGTCTGCACCCCCGGTGCAACATTCAGTTGACTTTGACGTGCTTCACAATGAAGACATCCCCGTTCATCACCAAGATACCAGCACAGCTCGTAACATTGTGATCGCCCAGTCTACGTATGTTGTAGTTTCCCGAATATGCAAACCGCGTTCTGCTCCAAACAGCCCACTGTATATTACAAAACTATTAGAGGATGTGGTTGATGACTATGACAGTGCTCGTTATGTAACAACTCTCTTTTACACCCAAGATGTTGTCGATCGTCTCCTATTTACTATTTCGGGAGAAGAGCATGTCATCCCAAAAGAGGGCATAAAGGGGGTTGTCAGCAGCATTACAGTTGTTTACAATGAAACTGTTGAAATAGAGGAGGGGGAGTATTATCTGCTCCTGGCCTTGGTGAACGGATCCACCGACACCACCTATCTCAATCAAGGCGATGAAGAACCTTTTGCAGAGAGCGTTGACGGACAAGGTGACGAGGATTCGATCACCATGGACGCTGGCTGACCGCAAAGGAAGCGGAAGAGGACAGTGAATCAGGAGTTTCTCTTTTATTAAGATCTAACTTGTTCATTAACAGGTATTTAGTATTCTGTTTCAAAATAATTTTAGGTATTTAGTATCACACATTTTACGATTTTGAGGTATATTGGTATCTTGGGGGCAAAATAGTGGGTATATTGGTATCCCACTACCTCCCCCCCCCCCCCCCCCCCTGGCCGGGCCTGAAAATTGCTCCATCAACCATGATCGTAGAAGCAAATGTGGTGGCTAGTAGAATCCTTTGTTACACTGGCTCCGTTATCTCATATAATGACAAAAACCATATTCCCAAAAAAGGATTACTGCTCTGTGGTCACAGTTTTAACTGATAACGAATATCAAGAACTCAAAACACAAGGTCATTCTAGAAAGGACACTAGCCACTTCCTTTATCCAAAAGAGACAGATGTCAATTTGTTTTGTATACGGCTTTATACTATTTCCTGCTCCTTTGAGTAAAATTCCATTCAAACGAAACTTAAACTTGAAGATAGGGAAATTTAAACAAGCTTTAGCATTAAGGATCGAACGACTTCTGTGACATCACTCTGTCCTAATGATTGATTAAATGATTGGCCCATAAGTTTGGCATTGTCTAAATTTTTAGACGAGCGAGGCTAGAGGAGAAAAAGTGCCAGATTATTTTCGGCCGCTAATAAACTTTTGCTCAATTTTGCTCTTGACAGAGTGTTTTCGATGTTAAGATTCCGTAAAGGAGAATTTCAGTCGGATGGGGATGGATTTAAACAGTTGATTGCAGGTCGTTGATCGGATTTTTATTATGAGGGCTATTTTTTATTTTGTCTTAGTTTATATAATTAGTGTTTTATTTTTTTTACGTCAATCTTAGCTTGATTTTATACATGAAAGTCTCATAGTTTTCCACAACAATTAAAAAGACTGAAGGACTTATTAGTAACCGAGTGACATAGAATGAACTGTAGTTTTTACCTCTAGATCGCCTAATACAATCATAGTCCCGAGTCGAACACAGCGGTACCGTCTTTGGACCTTAAAGGAAAACAACTCAATGAGATAAATTAGAGAAATTACAAGAAAACAAGGCAATACTTTAATTTTCCGTTCACTATCTCGTTGTTGCAAAGCAACTTGCCTTTTCAACGCCCAAAATTCCCGATTTCACGCAAATCAAAACTTAACGGGAACAATTATATACCATTGATCTTTAAAGACGAAAAAGCTAACCCTTTTTGATCAAATTATTTTAAGGTTTAAACTCGAAGCTTTATTTAGTGTAAAATAATAATAATTTACTTTCATTTACCGGTATCACTAGTAATAATAATAATAATAATAATAATAAAATGATGGTTTATTAACAGCATTTCCTTAAAAATAGGCTCTACGTCTGCAGATAAAATATAAAATATATAGTATATATTCAGCTAGAAGAAAAAAAAACATATGCGTGGTAAAAAAAAACAAACAAAAAAAAAAGGAGAAAGAACGAACGTTGGTTGAGGTTGCTAACTTATTAACTGACTGAAAAACTAATTACCTAACAATGATCAAAATACTCCCGGTTAAAACACGGCGTTAAGAGAACAACACATGTTTAATCTGCGACTCAACTAGTCTCACAATCATTTCTTCGCACATGGTTATTACGTCATGTCACGTGACTTACTTAGAGGGATACCCGCGGGGCTTGCCTCGCGCCACACTACTCCCTCCCCTACTTAAGCACTGTCCCAGTGCTGGCCATGGTCCACTATTTCACAGATAGTTTCCGAAGACAACTTCAATTAAACGCAACAGATCAAGTCTGAAATGTTCGTTCATCAACGTGCCAAGCGTCTACAGTTCTCAGGTAATGAAAGGCATTAACTTATACTTGTCTAGTTGTTTAGACTGTCCTATAATTCTTATCAGTCCCTGAACATTCAGGTTAATCAGTCACCCAAGTTCCGAATCGACTTGGTGGCTTGAAGAGCGCCTAGGGTCTTCCGTATACCACGATGACTTGCAGTCTTATGACTATGATGAGCATCAAGGGCAGCCTGTCGAAGACTCTCGGGAAGAATGACGTGGTCAATAATCTGATCACCTCCATCACTTTCCCATTTGCGGCAAAGTACACGGTTTCGGAAGAGCAGCCGGTCCCACTGAGACCACAAGGTCTTCACAGCACAACTCTGAGGCGACACACCTTCCCACAATGGCTTTTCTATGCCGGCTTCCTTCCAACCAATAATAACCTTCAGATCAAAGTCAGCTTCCTGTTGTTCCCTCAAGAAAGTTGAAGTCCAGGTTGGTTCTAACTTGACAGTGGCACAACTAGCACCAACAGGTTGTTCAGAATTCACAGGTTGTTCGTTGTCCTGGCAAGGGACATGCATCACAGTCTGAATACCCACATCAACAAATGACGCTCGCTCCTGTGACTTCCAACCCTTACACCACTTACAACGGATATCACAGGGTCTACGGGAAAGTGCATCAGCATTCAGATGTCGCTGTCCTGGTCGGTACTGGATCTCGAAGTCGAAAGTACTCAAGTAATCAATCCACCGTGCAAGTTGTCCCTCGGGATCTTTGGCCTGGACAACAAAACGCAAAGGAGCATGATCAGTTCGAATGCAGAATCTTGTACCTTGTAGGTAATGCCGGTGTTGCTTAACAAACTCAACGATTGCCAAGAGCTCACGACGGGTCACACAATAGTTCCTTTCAGACTTGGACAGTGTCCGACTTGCAAACGCAATGGGTTTTTCCACCCCGTCCTGAAACTGTGACAACACTGCCCCAATGCCATGGTCTGACGCATCGGTGTCTAGCACAAACTTTCCCTCCCTAGTAGGGTAGGCTAGGACTCTACCGGACGTAAGTAAACCCTTCAGCCTGTCAAAAGCCAGCTGACATTGCTCTGTCCAAGCAAATTCCGCCTTGGCTTGTACAACGGCTTAGCTATGGTCGAGAAATCAGGGATGAATCGGCGGTAATAACAGGCAAGTCCAAGGAAACTTTTGACCTCCGTGCTGTTTTCTGGGGTGGGCCAGGTGCGAACTTGCTCCACCTTTTCAGGGTCTGCAGCAATGTCTTCGTCCGTGACCACATGTCCGAGGTACGAAACCCGTTTCTGGAAGAGAAAACACTTCTTTGGCTTAAGTTTTAGTCCTGCCCTGGCAAGTCGCTCGAACACCTCTTTCAACCGCTCTAATTTTTCTTCAAACGTGCGTCCCATAACTATCACATCTTCAAGATAGATCAAACAAATCTTCCAATGTAGGCCCTTCAAAACATGTTCCATCAATCTGGCAAAGGTGCTGGGTGCGTTGCAGAGGCTGAAAGGCATCACGGTCCACTCATACAGGCCGCTCGAAGTTACGAATGCTGCCTTCTCCTGGGTGCCCGCATCCATTGCCACTTGCAAGATCCGAAGTTGAGAACCACTGGGAACCACTCAAAACAGCAAGAGAATCATCAACCCGAGCCAAGGGGTAGGCATCCTTCACTGTCACTGCGTTAAGCCGGCGGTAGTCAACGCACAGCCTTTGGCTACCGTCCTTTTTGGTTGCTAGCACAACCGGAAAAGACCAGGGGCTGGACGATTCCTTCACCTTGCCCTGCTGTAGGAGGTTAGTGACTTGTCGTTCTATCTCATCATGTTTCCACGGTGAAGTTCGCCGGGGCCGAATTCGGATTGGAAGAGCATTGCCCGTATCGATTCTGTGCTAGACCATGTGCGTGGCGCCTAAGTCCCCGTCTGAAATGGAGAACACATGCTTGTAATTGAATAGCAACTCCTGCAGTCTCTCGGTTGCACTGTCAGTTAAATTATCTGTGCTTCTCTCAAGTAGTTCCTGCAAGGCCTTCGGTAGAGTCGTCTCGACTGCTCCTTGTGACACATGTTCATTTATTACTCTAGCTTGGCCCATAGCACCGTCATGGTTCTCTTCATTAAGCTCTAGTGAGGTGACATCAGTAACTGGCTTAGCGAGGGCAATCACAGTCTCAGCAGCCAAATGAAACACTTCATTAGAAACATTGAAAACACGTAAGGGGACCACCCTGTCCTCCGTAACATCAACCAGAGTCCTTGCAAGATTAAGTCCCTTTTGTTGCAAATGTTAGTTCAGACATGGTTCTAACAATCGCGTGCCTAATTGAGACGACTTTGGGTGTAAGTTAAATGAACGCTTGTGAACAAGGACTGGGACGATCACCTCAGTGTTAGGGTCAATCAAGGTTGACCGTCGAACCATACATCTGGAACTAAGGGGTTGGTTCTTGAATCAGAACAATTAAACACTTCGCCATTAATTGACAGTTGGTTTGTCGCAATGTCAATACGTGAATCAACTTGAGACAGGAAGTCCATACCCAAAATGCCCTCATCCCCAATCTCAGCAACAATTACATGCATTTGAAACTCGCTGTTACCAAGGCGCATGACAAAATGTCCCACACCATAAGTTTTCGCTTGTTGACCATTAGCAAAAGCAATGGCAGAATTTCCTGAACTCAAACTGAACTTAACGCTAGCAGGTAAAGAATTATAAACCTCTAACGACAAAACTGAACGTGCGGCACCAGTGTCTATCAACCACATGACACGAGATCCTCCAAGAAAGCCTGGCAAGTAAAGGCCTCGTAACTTTTCATTAACATGTGACTGTTCCATGGGTGTATCAGGACATGTCATTTCCTGGTTTGGCAATTGCTGAGAGAATGCATTGTTCACATCCGTACCACTTGTGGGGCCGACATCACTCGCATCTAGGCATCCCCCTGGCCCGTGGGCGACACCCTGCGGGCGTTTCCCGAGTCCGGGTTGGCTCGGTCAAGTGACTTATACTTTGGGCAGTTACGACGATAATGGCCAAATTCTTTGCAATTCCAGCATTGAACATTGCAGTTGGAGTAACGTGAGGGAGGTAATCGCTGTTGGCTACCAGAGGTGTTCAAAGAGAGTGACTTGGAGAGCTGCCGTATCTGCTCAACTAACTGTTGCATAGCAACTTGCTGAGTCTCCTGACGTTGTTGTTGCACTCGAATGTCAGAACGTAACATATCCAGCTGAGCTTTAAGCAAATCAGGCTCTTTATCAGCTTCAACCACAGAGCGAATCTGAAGAGGGCTTCTCCGCTCATCTCCATCCACGAGACGAAAAGCTTCAAGTTCACAAGTCAGCGACAGGGCGTCATCTAAGGTGCGAAGTTTATCTCTACGTAATTTAAGCCTGTCGTCTCGATCCTTGAGTGCATCAATAAAGTGCTGGACGGCAAATCTTTCTTGAGTGTCCGGAGATAAGTCCTGATAAGCTAAACTTGACAGAGAGCGAATATCTGCAGCAAGAGCTTGAACACTTTCGTTTTCCAGTTGGCGACGGTTATGAAGGCGCACTTTGTGTAACTCACGTTGCTTTTCAACACCAAACCGAAGCTCCAATTTGTCAACAATTTTGGCGTAATTTCGACAATCGCTATCAGACATACCATTAAGCACCTTTTGGGCTTCTCCTCAAAGGCCTGCAGCAAGAAATAGAGCGGCTTCTTCTTGGTTCCAACCATTAACAACACAGCAACGGTCAAAGTGTTTCAAATAATCACGTAGCGACTGAGTACCATCATAATCCGCAGGATTTTCAGTAGGCTTGTTTAACTTCGGGCGGTGTGTAAACAAATCAGTGGAGTAAGTATCCTGTTGACTCTCCGATGCGAACGGTTTTTGGAGCGAAATCGGTGACTCGCACTGCTACCATGTACTGACGGATCCAGCGGCGACGCAAACGGGCCTGCTGATTGAAATCGCCGACCTGGACTCTCCACATGCATTGATGAGTCTACAGATGAAACAGACTCTGATGTAACTGGGTTTCCCGCTTTAAAAGGATTAACTGGCGTTGAACAACTCATTCCTTTAAATCCTGAATCCACAAGTGAGTTTTCTGCCAGTGCAAACCGGCGAGACCACGATAGCAAACACACTAAGAGACGTTGGATGAAAAACAACGGAGGACGATGAAACTCAGTCACCTAAACCATGGAAATATCGCCATTGGACACATATATCCATGAAGTTCGTCTTTGTTTACAGCTGCCACCAGTGTAACGCCACGATTCCCGGTTAAAACACGGCGTTAAGAGAACAGCATATGTTTAATCTGCTACTCAACTAGTCTCACAAGGTCGCACATGGTTATTACGCCATGTCAAATGACTTACTTAGAAGGGTACCCGCGGGGTTTGCCTCGCGCCACAATACTGTATTTGGAGTTATTACATTAGTACACTTTCCTTCGCTATTTTAAAATAGCCTGAATGGAGGGGGATGAGGGGGCTGGGGGGGGTTGAACACAGGCTACTTTAGAATATTGAAGATTTGTTGGGAAAAAAGACCCAAAATTTGTGCAATATTTGATTGGAGCAGGTAGGGTGTTGGACCTAACCTTGTACTATAATTATGCATTTGGGTGCTCACTGAAAAAAAAGTTATTGAATTTTAAGGGGAACGATAATTCTTAAAAGAAAACATAAAACAAGCAGAAATCTTGGAATTTCAAGAGCTTTTGATCCTAAAAGGTCGGGTCAGTATGGGCATCGTACCTAGTAGATTTGCTTACTACATATTCTTAGTGCGCACGTCTTGTAAAGTAACTCCGTCCTTTTACGATTTATATTTGTAGGTCACATCCCCAAACTAGATTGTGATAATATATATATACGGAAGAATCGTTGAATTATACAAGTTACAAAGAGAGCGAGCAGAGAGAAAAAACCTAGATTTATGAATGATGGTTACAGATTTAGACATTTTAGTGGCTGCTAAAGATATATGAGCTAGATTTCCAGGTTACATTGTCATCTAGAAGAACACCAAGAGCCATAGTGTCGATTTACTGAGTAAGACTATTTGTATCACCGTAGTTCATAATGCCGGCAATACTGTGTTTCATTCACATTACGTACTGAGTCATACTTACAAACGGAAGTAAAATGGCTTAGAAAAAACAAATTAAAGAAATTAAAACTATTCTAAACCTGGAAATCCAGGACGACGGCATCCACATTGTTTGATGGTGTAGTTTGAGGAACACTCGAATCCACAGCCGTCCTTTGTGTATCTTTCAACTGCTATAAGTTTCATTTGCCTGCAGTTCGTTTTGTAGGGTGAAGGAAGTCTCTTGATCTAAGAAAAAGGTACATAGAGAATACGTCATGGAAAGTGCGGGCGTACGGTATTTACGCACGAGTTGTTGACGTATCAGAAATCCAACGAGTGAGCGCAGCGAACGAGTAAGATTTCCGATACAAAAACAACGAGTGCGTAAATACTGTACAAAGCACTTTCCATGTGGTATTGTATTTATTATATACATACTGAGACGTTCATCATTTTGGCGGCCTTTTTACTTTAAATCTTTCAAAAATGCTAAAAACGTTTGTTAAAAACATAAATGACGGTAAGGATATGAGGTAATCCAGGAACTATAAGTACTCTTAACTGTTTGTTCTCAATGCACAATTGAAAATCAGTGAATTTAAGTAAAATGGCCGGTTTCAATATAAGCTTAAGCTTAAATGAAAGGCAAAGTAGCTCCGACAAAAAGCACAACAAAAGCTTACGTCTCGTTCTGTTTTTCCCTTTCCGCTGTTGTTTCGCCGGCTCTCTACCGTTTTCTTTATTGAAAGTGAGACAAACGAAACTATTCCACTCCATTTCCGAAATGTTTTTCACTTTTTTAGCTAGAAAAACTCTTTGAGTAAAACTTTTCTCGTTGAATGTGTGCGAAGCGACGCCGCAAGCTGCAATAAAAGGCGGGAATTTTGGCGCGAAACCCACACCTCTGTGGCTTCTGATTGGACGTATCATTTTTTTGCACGTGTGAAAACCATCGTTCTCTCCTCTGATTGGTTAGAACTAATTTGCGTACGAAAATTTACGACATAGCTTTATGGTGAGTATTTCTCAGTATGTATATAAGAAAGTAATATACCACATATTTCGCTCGTTTTTATTGGTAGTCGTCTTTCTTTTATGAGAATTAATGATATATATAGTCATCCACCTCACACAGTTATTCATTATGTCGCACAGAGCTGAAGAGGTTTCAAACATTATACCACAAAAGCCCGACTGAGTTAAAATTCGACAAAATCAGTTTAAATTTAATTTTGGAGATGCTGAAAAACGACTATTACCATGCAAAAATAGTACTAAAGAGAATTTTTTGCGTTTTGGCCGTTTCGGTCTGAAAAAGAGTATAGATGTTACCTACTGTGGTCTGGAATCAGGTACCGTTTTCGAGAGAGTTACTGGAGTGTGCGGACGTATTTGTCGTTTCCATTCCAAATAAATAAGAAAGAGTAATATGTCTAAGCTAAGTAATGATGTCATAATTTCTGCCTATGGATTTTGAAGGCCTGGTCTGAAAACGGGTGTACAAAATTACATTTTTTCGTCTGAAATAAGGCGAGGATTTAGAGAAACGGGCGGTACAGCTCCATCAAGAATTCCAAGTAGTACCCCGGGTCAGTAACTCACCTTTGTAAGCTTGATCAAGGCAGACGCATGGGTGCCAGGTAAGACATTGAAGCCGTCATAGCGGTTGATAAATGTATTTTGTTCGTGCACAATCACTTTGAAACCAGCAGAGAATTCGTTCAATGTGCTCTCGTTGGTTTGAACATCGAGTAGAATGCTAAGACCAAAATCAGCGCCTTCATAAGTTGTATGATGCAATGGAATGTCATTTAGACCCGAGTTAAAAGTGAAGCAGAGCCCTTCTTGAGTCAGGTGCGGAACAAAGTCCTTATCAGAACATGTGATTACAGATTTGAAACGGCAGTAGAGGACAAACATGCTACGCATTTCATGGCCATATCTGATAAGAAATTCCTCTTCATTGTAAAAACGTTCCGATGACCGATTCAGAGCGTCTAATATTTTCTGTTGAGTTGACTCATTGCAGCCTTTTACCAAAGCCGGTCCAAACCACTGATAAGCACACAAAAGAGCCTGGCCACAGGTGAGGTTTCCGCGAACACTACGAGTTTCACTGCATCCACTAATGTTTAATCCCATCTGATAAAACCTCTCATCATCATCAGTCGCATCAATCTTAGATCGCATAAACATGTTCAAATTACAAATGGTTACGGCAGGGAAGGTCAAGCCATTCGTCGGTGTTTCCAGTGAAATTACTGTCTTGATCGGCAAAGAAAAAAATTTTCTTAAGCTGATGACGGAAAGAAACATGAACAAGCTTGCAGCGGCGAAAAGAAACAGAAGCCAAATAGTTCGCTTCAAAGGAGAATGGCTTCGATGGACGACGTGTCTAAGTCCGTGGAGAGTTGTACTGGAAGCAAACTCCGTCCATTCGTGGGAGTCGGGATTTTCTGGTTTCATTTTTTCGTTCGGAGAATTTGAGCCATCATCGATGGGCCTCACAACCACTTTCCTTACCATACCTGAAAATCAAACAATAAACAGAATAAATAGCAGCTATAAGTAAATACGTTAAATAATTCACTTATCATGGCGTTAGGCACTCTACGGGGTGTTTTCTTGTTTCTCATATCAATTTTTCAAAATTGTATAATTTGTACTCATGAAAATGATATTTCAGAGACTCATAGAGGTAAACGGAATCTGTTTGACTCTTTCAGAATCAGATAACTATACAACTACGTTTTTAGTTAACCTTTTTTACCCTTGATGGCTGAAACCACATTTTTATCGATTTATACCAAAAAGATAAAAATCTATCCGTAAGAATCGCCTTTGGGTTTTTTAAATCGTCGTTAAGAGAAAGATAACCAATCAATTTATGAAAGGATTCAATAAATGTTAAAAAAAAGATTTGACATGAAATGTAAATCGTTTTTGTTACGCAGCTTCGTGAAGTTGCGTTAGCAAATTAGCAAATAAAAAATTAAAACGCTGCCGGCAAGAGTGATAAAATCTCTCAAAACCTACACTAACTCAGAACGAAGACTGTTGTCACTTTTGAAATGTCTGCGACAATCCGATTCAGTATCTGTTTGTAATCGATTACTTTACCTGAATTTCGCATAAAGCCGCCCGACTTACTGATAACACACTAATGGATATTAGACTCCTCGACTGTCCCACAAACTGATTCAAGGCAAAGTCTGACTGAGTAGGCAATTACTGTTTGTTTTAAGCAGTTTACATAACTTGGTATGTCGCCCGAAAGTTACGATTGTTAGAACGCCAGCGAGGTAGCAGTTCGTTGAGGTTCACAGTTGGTTGTTTGACTGTACAACTAACAAAACAGCTGCTTTATCACCTTGCCAAAAAACCTGTTAATTTAATTATGAGCAATTTCATCAATTTTTGGGTTGATTCAGTCTCATAATAATGATGCATTACCAAAGAGAAAAACATAAAAACAGAATATAAAAGAAGAAATATCGTTGTGTAATGTTATTGGATGGCGTCAAAGGAAATAAAAAAAGTTATTTGTTGCTTTCCTCAAAATACTGAGGTCGATAATCCGTTATCCGAGTGGCTTTTTATCATATCTCTTTGTCGTCATTCAAATATTTGTGCCCATGTGTAAGAAAAATAAGGATAGAAACACATATAAACAGTGTGAAATTATTTAGGTCCATGCCAATTTTGTTCATTTTGGTGGATTTTGGCGTCAAGATCCAGTCCTCTATGCTGTATTGACGTCTTGTTTAATTAGTAGCCTGATATGGTTTTTGTGTCTCCTTGATGTCAGCCTTTCGAAAAATATGATCCCACCCAAACAGACTGCAAAGAAAAAGATTTATTTTTATATTCCTTGTGATTTTAATATGACACGGAAAAGCGAGCATTGCGGATTTGTTTGTTTTCCCAGTACATTACTATTTTCTACTGTAATTATTTTGCACTTATGGATTCTTCTGTCTTTTCTGCATCATCTTAGTTCCCAAGGTCCTTCTTCGTTCTGTCCCTTGGAGTGAGCATAAAGGTGAGAAGGGAGGGAAAGATACCGTAAGAGGCAACTCTGAGACACTCATGTGTCAGATTTCTCAGCGTTAAATCTTTCCAAAATTTCGGAAGGCAATTCCAACCCCATTTTTCTTTTAATATTGAGTGGATAACTGAGGACTTCCGATAGACTCCAATACAGCACTAAACAATACAGAGTGGGCAAGATATAGCGAATACCCATATATGATTGGCTAAACGAATTAGCAATTTTTCCCTTGTTCTCGAAAAAAAAAGTAATAATAACAAATACTGCGACGACGACGACGACGATGATGATAATAAACATCACTTAAACAGAACAATGTTGTTATCTTTATAATCTCATATATCTTTCAAATCATTCATCCTTTCTTGAGGAAGTGAGAGAGGACACGCGAACGCTAGTTGCTTTTGCCTAAATATCATGATTTGAGTTACAGTGCAAGGGAATGGGACTAGCAGAATATGTTTGCTATAGTGAGATTTCGTTGTACGATGATTCTTTTCCATATATTTTACTAAGAATATCGTTCGGTTAATCTGAGGACTTCGTTATAAGAGGTTCGCTATATCGAGGTTCCACTGTACCATCAGTACGTCAAACGGCGAGACTTATAATAATTTGAGTAAATGACATGTTCTGACCTGAACTAAAGCCTTTCCAGAAAACAAAGGGGTGTGAGACGCCTCAGTATCGATAAAACCTGGCCTTCCGAGTCTTTATATGCATCGAAATAATACAAAAATAATACGGGTTGTGATGGGACGATTGTTACCTAAAATCAATCCTCTCATTACTTAAAACTGTGATTTTGTTTTGAAATTGTGAATATACATTAGTACTAACGCGAGTTTTAAAATAGTCTGCGAAGCGGACGGAGCGCAAACAAAATCTTGCCCCTCTTAATATTTCATGCCAGGTTATTGTTGCAACGAAAGTTCCAAGTGCGACAAATGTAAATAAATGATTCGATGAAAATATTTCAGTACTTGAGAAGATCGTAAAAAAGAGGTGTTATATTTTGAAAGAGAGAGAAAAAATAAAGATGACGGGTGGCATTTAGAAAAGACGTCTTTTTAAGGGGCATTTCCGCTGACTCATTACAAAGTACGGCATCTAATATATGTAGAGTATATTGTCACGCTAGGAAGAATCAATTTGTATGCTGCCATGCTAAGTATATTCAACGAAGGCAAATGTTAGGATTATGAATGGCCACAGTCGAGCTGAAAGGAAGCCTAGTTACATGGAGGCAGTACATAATTCCACAACAGAGGAACCAGTAAAGTTGAAAAGCCTTAAAAGGAATTCAAGTTCTAGCGATTGTGAGGCGGCTGTAAAGGCAAATTCAGTTTCTGGTGAGTAACACCTTCAAAACAATCCGGGTTGATACATCGGCTGATGATAATTTAAATCACTCGAGGTTTTCGAAGGGTTTGTCGGTTTTCGTTAATATGGGAAAATAAAACAAAGCCATTCGATTCCTATGATTTTAACGTATGCAAGGGTAGTAAATGTTCGAAACAGATATTAATTAATTCGAATTTTGTTTCCGCGTGATTTAACAGACGTTAACAAAGAGATGTTTTTCTAAGAAAAATTTTCTCATATATTGAATTTTTGACCCCAATTTAGATAACTGCCATCAACCACTGATCGACATTGGTATGATTCACCACAGTTCTTGCTCCCGCTTTTTTTAAATTTGTAAACTATGTTCTTTATTGAAAGATGCCACCCACATTCATCTCATGGCAGTTTTCGCGTGACCAAGCTCATTTTAAAGGGATAAAACGAAGTCGTAAATTCATTCCAGCGTCAGTTTAGTGGATAATACTAACGGTGTCTCACATCCTTCATCATGTTGAATGATAAAAATAAACTCATTGCGTTCAACCATGTGCGAACAACAGGTTCTTAGAGTTACAACATAGCTTAAAGGTGGCAGTGAACCGTGAATAATTTCCATGACTAAATCTCGCCCTCTAATGCTATCAAAAAATTGTACATGGATGTCTGAAGTCATACCTCGTTTTCTTTCAACAGTTCTTACTAATCGCACTTTTAGGACAACGTCGAGTAAGGAGTTAAAGACCGCATACAACAGAAATTTCTTTTTCCATGTTTTCCTGGTCGCCATAGTAACATGTCAGCTATTTTGAAAATCATTGTCTTATTTTTATCATCTTGCCTTTAAGTTTGTTACCAAAAAAAAAAAAAACTGAAGGCAATATACGATGTTTAAAAGGTGCGCATAATTCTTTAAATAAGTTTTATGTAGTCTAAAAATGGCAAATAATTTGCATAAGACAAATCATGTTTCGAACCCTCAGTGGAACCACCATTAACCTCCTGAGTACAGGCAAGTGGCCGGGAGCCTATCCTGAAAAAGCTTATTAATGGTGCTTTGTCTCCCTGTAGAGTTAAGTCCACACAAATATGGAAACATAATCTTTAGCAAAAACGTCATGTTTCTTTGAAAGAATCAAGCGACAGGAGCGGCATTACTGGTCCACAATCAGTGGTCACCTTCTATTTCGGACTGTCATGCCCATCTTTGTGGTTTACGGCCGCGAGCCCGTGATAGATTTCTTTTACCAGAAGCGTAGAGTGAAAAAATAAATAACTAAATAGAGCGCTATAAAAGAAGCTGAAAAAGTCACGTTCCAGATTTTCGCTATGATTTTCCTTCATCTTTATATTAAAATTTGGCCAATCTAAAAAGTGCATCAAGAGCGTGATCAGGGTGGCAAAGGTGGTACCTATCACGCATCACGCCGGTTTTTTTTTTAAGAGCTATCACGCCTCACGGAAAAATAAAACACTGAATATTGACTACATTGACAAGTATCCTAATATCATTTGATCCTGAGGAAATCAGAGCTCGAGGAACGAGAAAAAAGGGCAAGAAGTTGGTGTCATAACAATCTATTTTTAATGTCTCTGCTTCTAGTTTCAAATGATATTAACCATCACGGAAATTTCAACGGAAAATCACGCGTCAGGCGTAAGGTGAAAATAGTATGTAAATCACGCATCACGCTGCAATGTCCAATCACGCCTCAAGCGGCTGATTTGGGTCCGATCACGTATTTGGATCCCATCACGCGTCACGGAAAACCCCTGTGCGACCCTGTGTGATGGCCACTGAATAGAAAAGTTGGCCGCAGCGGCCTAATAGCTAGAGAGTGGCCGCCTGATAGAGGTTCAACTGCATCTTCACATGAATCGAACCAAGTCGATTGCAATACGGCGTCTTCTGTCGAGTCAGTTCGTTATTTTCTATAGTCCTGAAGGTAGCCGAGAAACTTTATTTTTACTCTTCGAAGTAAAAACTGTGGGAAACTCGTAGATATATATTTTAGAAAATAGATAGATCATGCTATAAAATAAATTTAAGAATTAATTTTAGCCAAGCAGCCGAGTATGCCTTTTAAAAACATCTAATAATGCTGATACTACTAATTGAAATACTCATAAACTTCAGTCATGCGATGATGCAAAGTTTAGTTATTGAACATAGGGTTTGTCGCATTCAATATAGTAAGGGTTGGATCACAGAGCAGTAATTCTTTTTTTTCTTCCTGAAGGTATTGAAAGTCCTTTAGATACATTTGTTGTCAGCTCTGATGTGGGGAATGTTGATCAAGAACAAAACTTCCCTACCAGAAGCCAGACATGGAGGGATTTTTCGGAAAACTCAACCCTCCATGGTTTTAAATATATTTTTGTGAGAAGACCATTTTGGGCACGTGTGGTTTGGCTTATTCTGTTAATGACTTGCACTGGGTATGTCATATATTCTCTCTGCAACAGCATCATAAAGTACTTCGACTTTCCGATTGCTACAATCATGAAAATAAAGTACCCGGATGACACAATGCCCTTCCCGGCAATAACTCTATGTCCCATGACAATGATATCAAAACGTAAAGCATCAATGAGAGACGATGATCCCAATTTTATAAAGCTTGGACTCAACATAGAAGCTTGCGAGGCAACTGCGAGTGTCAGGGCAGGGCGACCTTGCGGAGAAGCACTCCTATGCTGTTGTTTCAGCAGCGATATCATCCTCGATGTCGAGACTACTATAGACAACTGCACTGAAGACTACAAAAATGAGCTAAAGGCAGTTCTCAACAGTGACAAGAGATTATTTAACCTAAGGGATTTTTATAAGGCTTATGGCCTCGATTTAAGCAGGATGATCGTGCCAGAAACATGCAAGTTTGGGTCGTCAGACAAACCGTGCACTTACAGGAATTTCACTGAAGTTGTGACAAACTTTGGAAAGTGTTATTCATTCAACTCGGCTCCTGGTGACGATGTATTGCAAGTGTCTTACGGTGATCTATCAGCTGGCCTGTTTCTGATGCTTAACCTCCACACTGATGACCATCAGTTTGGTTTGCTTTCTGAAGGGATCAGAGTGCTTGTTCACAATCAGGGAGAATACATCAATCCGTGGAACAGTGCGCTGGTGGCTCCGGGGTCTCATGCTCAGATCAGTATCAAAAGAAAAGTGGTGAGTAGGAACTAGTAAATATTTTTAGCTAAAGATTAATTACAGGTGATGTGACTGAGACAGTTGCTCTTCACGTTTAAGGGTTGACCTCTGGGTTTCCTTTATGCTATTTTTGAAATAAAGTATTCTATAAACTATTGAAGATTTAAACGAAGGTCCATCAATATGGAAATGGCAGCGTTTTTTTACTAAATGTTAAAACAATCAAACTTCAGGGGCACCTAACGAGAATATAGTTCAAAACTACTTAAACATAGCATTATTAAACTTAAATTAGTATTTAAACAGTAGATATAGGCACATTTTTATCCCCTAAAAAGTTTTCATCCGTTCAGATTTCCTAGCTGAAAGTCTAGTGATCTGAAAATTGCAAGGATCAAGACTTGCCTTTTCGAAAATTTCAGCCAGAAAAAAGGGTCCCGAAATTTCTAGTTGACCTTTTTAGTCTAAAATTCGTTAAAAATGGGCAATTATACCATTTTTTAGATGTTCGAAAATCCTGGGAGAGGGAGGCAAGCAAGAAATTTTACCACAAAAGTTCCGAAAATTCTAGATCTCAAATCGTCTTTCGAACACATATTTTCCGAAGATTGACGTTCGGGTACTGCCCCTGAATCTAACGCAGTCTGGGCTCCTGGAGTCCACGCTGTGGATTCCGGATTCCATGTACTGGATTCCGGATTCCAATCATTCCAAAATTCCGTTTAGATGGGACGAGAGATGTCCTAACCCACCCCCAATGAGGTTGTCTATCTTCAGTAATAAAACGAGCGATTTTCGTTGAGATTTCAAATAGCCGTTGTCACATAAGAGAGGATCTTGTGGGGATTTGCTGCTGCAAAGATTGTCGTAGTTTCAAAGTTGTCGGGGCGATCTATTAAGCAGTAAATTTCTGCGAGTTAGTGCATGGTGCATTATCCTGGTTACTGTCACCGCTGCTTGCACGAAAGCTGGAACATTCAGTCCGCCATAAAATAGCCACAAAATCGGTAAGAAATTGCTCAAGAAATATCGCCTGTGTAAATGGGTTTCTACAAGGGTTGATTACCTCATAAGGTTGTCTACTTATCTTATAACGGAGTTCAGTTTGTAAGAGTTCGACTAATTACGAAAGTGCATGTCTTCACAGTGTGAGTGATTGGCATATGCGCATATCGAAGTACCTGCAAAAGCTCACAGATACCGTTCGAGCATCGACGAGTTAAAAGGGAGATATAGAACGTGGAGGAAGTTACTCCCTAGGTTAATTCAACTAATTAGCTTCCGTATTTTTCTTTGTAGTACCGAAACAAAAGAACTCCATACGAGACAGAGTGCGATGATTCTACAAAGCTGACCAATTTTCAGACTTACACGTCAGATGGTTGTTATTACGAGTGCCTCTCAAAAAAAACCCTGGCAGCATGCAAGTGCAGGGATATTGGTGATAACAGTAAGGGTGTCTGTCTCATAATCTGTTGTTATAGTGTAATTTCGACTTTAACCGAGAACCGCAGTGTACGGCGGCGGGCTCACATAACATTTTTAAATTTCTGGTAAACAAATTAGTGCATTTGCCAGGAAACATGCCCTCTACCAACCGGCGGCTGGTATGTTTTCGCCTGCTCGATTGTTTAGGAATTAGCCAGTTTATTCAATTTCAATTAGAAATTACTTTAGGCATGTTTATGTTTTGCCATGTGAGTGTTTTTAACACGTGCATGGCATTAGTTCCCATTCCTCATCTTTCTCGTTATTATATAATTCAAAGTAAGTTAACTAATCAAGGTTTGCTAAGATAGGTAATCGGTAATAAATAGGCTACGGTAGGTATACTGGATTTTTGTATTTATTTAAGGAGTCTGAAATTTTACACTTTTTCGTGTCTTAGGCAATTCTGCTGACCGAGTTTGTTCTCGAGAAGACCAATATTGCACTTATAAAGTGTACAATGGTAAGTTTCTCGGCAACACGTCAGAATTGACTAACTGGATTGTTTATTGATGATACTCTTAATGAACATCATACACTTATTAATGACTTGCTATTGGGTACGCTGCTAAATTACGCTTTTAAGCTGACATTTTCTTATTTTTTTAAATTCTGTTACCACCTAAGAGTTTTTTCTTTTTTTATTTTCTATCCACACCGTTTGGTATCAATACATAAGAGAAAACTTGTGTTCCTCGAAGTAATGGCACATTGTCATCTGTCATATATCGAAGATAAGACGTGTTTGAGACAAAAACTTAAGTATCTACCTGCCCACTGGGGACGCAGTCTGAAGTTGTATGGTATTTCGGTTATTTATTAGTCTTATGTTGTTATGCCTTGCCAGATGTGCTACATGAAGGAACAGATACATGTCATTGTCCTCTTGCTTGTGACGTCACAGTTTATGAGCCAACAATTTCAACTGCAGCATTTCCAAATCCTTCCATGGTGAAAATCCTACAACGCAAACGCTTCAATCGAAGTGAGGATTATTTTAGGTACGTCAAAAATTTAAGATCCGAAGAAAAAACTCATTGAAAATACTTTGAGTAATTGCGTAAAGGCTGTGATGTAAGAGCGCCATACTGTATTGGTTTCCCCGTGGCGAGGTCTGACGGAACTACAGTCACGTGGCGACTCAAAGTTTGCAGATGGATAGACAGTAGTCTTTTTACTCATGGTATGAAGAGCGCTATGGTGCCTGGAGCTACCCAGAACACACTGACTCGGTTTCGGGAATAATTCCAACCCTACCTTTGGAATTTGTTAGTGAGCCTGAACCAGAAACCGATTCCTGCCTGAAGCAAGTCACATTTATTTATTTTTTTCATGATGAATTGAAGTAATGTTTTATTTTTTTTGCCAATCTCTTATCCCTCAGAAACCGTCATCAAATGGCGAACCTTTCATTTTCCTATCCACAGATCCCATACTTGTTGTGAGAACTCCGGGTCCAAAGTTTGTTCTTTCGATAAACACCTGATGCCAGGTGACTATGACGCAGTCTGGACCAATCATAGACTTTTTTTTATGGTCGCTCTTTCTCTATCCATAGCCAGGCTCCTTCTGTAGGTACTGAGACACAGATTCCGTGCAACAAAAGGAACAATGCCAGTGACGAATCCAGACCTTCAGATAACGGGGGGAAGGGGAGGAGGGAGGGAGAGCAGTCTCCAAGAAAAAAATTTTTCTGCCCTTCGGGCCTCAGTTTGTTCTAAAAATAAGGGGTGGGGGGGGGGGGGGCACCCCGGGCCCCTCCTCTGGATCCGCCACTGAATACCTTCAAAGAATAATGCCCCCATGAGAACTCTACTGTGCGGCTCCTTTGTTTCTTTATGATGACGGTACCTGCAGAAAGGCCCCATAGCCAGGGCTCATCGGTACCAACGCTTTACTCGGTGAAGAAGATACTTTATAAATGCTCGTGTATTGACTTCAAGAAAAGATTTTAATACAAATACATTGAGGTTATAATGCAATAAAAAATATAATTTACAAAATATAATGTACAACAAATATCCTGTAGAGGCGAAACACCTCTAATTAATTCATTACTGATTTCTCCAAAAATTTATTTGCTGTTACTTCAACAGGCTGATAGTTTGATTTTATTTTTTAATGAATATCTAGAAACTCCTACTTTATATATTTGTTGCTCGCTGACCTTTGTTTTAAAACTGTAACCAACCATCGTTAAGACCAACACCATAAAACAACTTCCACTGCGCCGTATTAAATTTTTCTGTTTCGCCCTCGACACTTTCTTTGTATTTCATAGCACTACGCAGGACGTATGGCACAGCAATAAAAACGTAATGTATTAGCTCGGTATAAATGTCTCGTTTGCTTTACTTGCGTGTTTTTAACGTACGCGACTACTTCATTCCGCGCGTGCTTTTGGCAGAGACGAATATTTCTCGAGACCTCCCGATTACGAATATGAATCCGTCTTCACCAATCGGGGTTACCATGCAGAACTGCTCTGCCACCACAAGGCGCTTCGGAGAAAGAACCTGCCAACTAAGCAGGGGAGAGGTTCAGTGCTCCTCGGAGCTTGAACAGCAATCGGTGTCTTCCATGGGTTTTCATGTGATGAGAGACTCGTTACATTTACTTGTTGTCCCACTCTCCGTCATTTATCTTTTTTTTTTTTTTCATAGGAAGAACCTGGTCTACCTTCAAGTTGGGTACAAAACCTTCAGTTACGAACTTTTCAGACAGAAAGCTCAATATGACAGCGGCGCGCTAATGGGTAAGAATATAAATACAGTCGACCCTCCATAAGAGACCCTTTCTCGTAAGCGATCACTCATCCAAAACACCAAAATTTCAACACCCAGCCAAAGCCTCTCTGTTGAACCTCTCGTCAAACAATTACCTTAAAAACGACTACCCTACCCGAAGACTTGGAGGTCACTTATCGCAGTTTCCTCCGCATCATATTTTAAGTTGAATTTCGGTAGGAATGTAACAGAGTTAATGACACATTGCGACTGGAAACGGCCATGTCGAAGAATTTTAAATTTCTCTTGCAGAGTTTTAAGGCTCCCTGATTTAGTACATAATAATGACTGGCTCCAATCCCTCGACTAATTCTTCATACCAACCGACGAACGTTGACCAGAAGAAGAAGAGGACGGTGCGGGCAATATACCATCTATTTCACGGTATATTTGACTGGGAACGAGGTTGATCGATGGTATATTTGATTAGAAACGAGGCTGCACGGGCAATAGACTGTCGATCAACTTCGTTTCCAGGCGCGGTGGCCTAGTTATTTATTCTCGAGTGGACAAAAAAAATGGCGTTCACGGCTATCCGAAGACGAAATAGCTGAATTTTTTACTGAAACTGAACGGAAGAAAAGCAAGAATGCGCAAAACATATATATTGCTCGATGGACGCTTTTTGAGGAGTATCTGCACGAAAACATCTGTGTTTACACCCTTGATCTGCATGTGTAATTTTTCATGCGCATCCTACTCACCCTCATTCTATAATTGGGGAACATTTATCAAGAGAGAATGAGGGAAGAGAGCGAATCCTTCGTGTGGACGGACAAAAAGGGAGGTTTTCGAATACGATGATGTCATGCATATCTCAGTGCATGCCCAGTAAGGGATGCTATAGTCCATTGTACATGTTTTATCAGTTTCTTGTGGACGGGCGAAAACGATGCGTACACGCTATGTATGACAAGGAAAAAAAATCTCCGTTTTCAAAAATACCTGCATACATGTGGAGGAGGCCTTATTGTAATGTACTTACGTATGTTCTGTGCTTTAGGTGAGATTGGAGGTAACATGGGTCTGTTCCTCGGTTCCAGTATTCTGACGATTTTTGAGTTTGTCGACTTTGTCATTTATCTTTGTTCCCGTCGAAACAAGAAAGACAGCTGATTACACAAGAGAGAGGATTCACCGGATTACCCTTGAATGCTCTAACCAACGCGACACGCTAAAAGGGAAGCAACCACCTCCATTGTGTTCTTAGGAATTCATAAAAAAACGATTAATTCAGGGAATTAAATAAATTAATAAGGTTAATTTGGTCCCTTGTCTTAATCTTGTTTTAAAAGTTGTGCCCTAGCTTTAAGAGTGAAAAAGCCTTATGAAATGTAGGTAACCTTTTCAGTATAAAGTGGAAAGCGACGCTGTGCGTTTTAGCCTGTTCCAGGCGTTCTCTGAGTTAGAAGGCAAGGCGCGACGAGAAAAGGGAGCGTCACTCACATCATCATCAACAATAGAGAGCTTAATCAACGACGACGGCCGCGACGGCCACGGATACAAAAACGTCACTTAAGCGGTGAATTGGCGCTGCTTCAAAATTTATTCTATCTCTTTTCAACTCGTCAAAAGTTAGCAGTCTTTTGCTGGAGTTGAATTCTAAAAGACTGTATCGAAGGTCAGGAAAAGAAAAAGAAAGTCGTTGTCTTGTGTTCACGTCTTCCACAAAAAGTGAAATTACACATTCTCACGATGTAGTCGTGCAGTGACGACTTAGAAAAGCGTGATGCACGTTCAGAGTTGTGGTTTTGCCAATCTAAACCTATTGCTTTCTTGCCGTTCTCGTTGAGGTCGCCTTCGTCGTTGCTTAAGCCTTCTTATGACAACACGGCTAGAAAACTGGGGCGAGGGACGAGTATTCTGTTCGCAGTCGTTTTTTATGACGACAAAAGGAATGGCTTTGTAGCAGATTTAGGGCCGAGGGGCGAGGGGCGAGGGTGTAGCTTGTTATAAAGAACTTTTAAATGTCAAACCGGCCTCCCTGTTTAAACTCGTCAGTCTCCTCGCTCACTGGATCGTACAAACTGCTCCAATTTGGTGAAATTTATCTGACAGTGTGCTTAATTCCAGTAACCTCCGTGGCGAAAAATATTGAATGTCAAGGTGGCTAAGAGTTCTCCATTAACCGTAATCCCATATTTTTAAAATTTCCCCATATATCTATCTCTTTAAACTTCGGATAATTCCGGATATTGTTATCATTTATACCTACAAGAGCCAGCTGGAAGTAAATTAAATTCAATATGTACAGAAGAGAAGAGAAAAGGTTTAAAAGTTTTAAAAGGTCAAATAATTCAATTACAACATAACAGAATTAAAAACCCCAACTGGCAGGAGGCAACCCGTTAGCTATTTACAAGCGTGGCGAGGATTTGAACTCGGCACGACCGACAAAAATACAGCAATTGGTCAAAACGGGACTAGAACGAAGAACCGCTGGATTGTGAGTCCGACGCGCTGAACACTCGGCCACGCTGCCTCTCCTATAAAGAGAAGAGGAGCGGAGACGAGAATAAAACCATTTTTTCTGCCTGGTGGCCATTTTCATATCAAAGACTTCGCGGTTACCTCGCTTTGAAAAAAAAGACCCTTTAGGCAGCTCGGAAATCATCATAGTACGTACTCAGACTTGAGGTAAAGCAAAGCTCGTAGCTTTTTTTGTGTAATAACATAATCTACTAATAGAAGAGGACCCTGGAAACGGGGTGGGCCTATTTCTCTCTCCCCAGCTTTCCGCGCAGAGCCCTATGCGGAGGAGAGAGACTTCCTACTACTTTAATTTGTTAGCGTGTGTCGCAGTCGTAATTCAACCCCGGCCAGCACATCTGAGGAACAGTGCCGATATCCTTGTTCTGGACTCTTAAAGGACTTAGCGAATAACCAGAAGTGCGTTTCGAATTTCCTTTCATCTTGATTGGGAAGTCGACAATGACTTTTTTAAACAGGCCAATCATGGCGTGTACTCAAATCCTGGTACACAAGTGTGCGCCAACAGAATTGCAAGGATTTCGGCGCTGTTTCTCAGACGGACTTAACCAGTGTTTAGTTTCGTCTGTGACGCAGGCTACTTTTTTGTCTGATTGATCTTATCCCTTCGTCCCCATTAATAAAGGTTTTGCTTACGTCCTCAATAGCCCTATTTATACTAGAGGTCGTCTAAGACGTCTTAGACATTTAAGACATCTTAGACGACTTAGATGTCTAGTATAAATACGGGAAATAAGGCAGACGCATTAAACGTAAGACGAATTAAACGTCTGAAGTTAAGTGCGTTCGATCGACGCACTTAACAGATGAATTAGTCGTCTCAGACGTTTAAGACGTCTAGTATAAAAACGGGACGCGCTTAACGACGCACTTAACAGTCAGACGTTTAATGCGTCTGGACGTTTAAGACGTCTTCTAGTATCAATACAGCCAATATCGCTTTCAATGTCTTGCTCACTATATTACTTGGATGAACGGCTTTTGCTGAAAGCCTTGTCTAGAGATCTTGTCTTCTCGATTTTATGGATAACTTTGTTTGCCATCGAGATCTTAGTGACTTTTTTAAAATTTAATTTTCGCGTGTTTGACTCTCCATTGTAGTAAATTGAGATTAGCACGGTCACGCGCAGCTTTATATTTATAGATCGGAGAGTAATGACCGTTTTTCACTTACCAAACAGAGCACAGCAATGAACTCACGTTCATTAGCGGACCGTTAAACAAAACGTTAATTTAGTAAACACAAAACAGTATTGTTGACATCAACACTAAGACTAATTTCTTACAAACGTTTAACCTAACACTGTCCTCCGGGCACTGTCAGGCACTTGTTTTTAAATTGTATATTCGAAAAGCAATGTAATTAAGACTCGCTAAAAAATCCTTGTATTATTTAATATTACATGTCAAGATTGTTTCGTTTGGTCGTCGCTAGTCTTTGTTTTATGTGACAAAGCTCGTGCTAATTCTCTGAAAAGATTCGTAAAATAGAGAAAATCCAACAACACACGTCAATAATAACCAATAGGCGGTGTTCTCATTCAGTTTTCAAATAATAATTGGCAGCTTAAGGACACGTAAAATAAATTATTATAAGTATACTGTACAAATGGACGGCAAAGCCCCCCAGAGCATCAAAACAAACAGTTAAAGTTATTAAAACTGCACACCTGTCCCTTTTTTGTCGTTGATGGTTTATCCCTCAAGAGTTCCTTTTTAATCATGTACATAAATTTTAGATGGTGGTGTGTGGTCACTGTATGCAAATGAGCTTTTCCCCTTTCTCTGCTTTCAACAGCGGCCCGTGGTAGTCAATAGGATTTCCAAAAGTTTTTAGAAAATATTTGAATATGAACAACACAACAAACAAGAATCAGAAAATCACCCCGACTGATGCATCGGATGCTGATGAAAATGAAGAAATTTTGGGATTCAGTCCTAAATACGACATCTTTCCTCTAGTCTTGGCAATTGCGATCGTGGTTTGTAATACACTGGTGTTACGTCTGATTATAGGAGTGAGATCTCTCCGAACAGCTGCAAACTTCATCCTTGGAAGTTTGGCTTTTTCCGACTTGCTCAGTGGAGTGCCAGGAATACCGCTATATTTGGCGTGCAGTGCCGTTCAGACTACAATAATATGCGGTATCACTCAAGTACTTACAAGGTTCTTCTCCATTTCAATTGTATTACATCTTATCTTAGTGTCCATTGACCGTTATGTTGCTGTTACCCGCGCTATGCGTTACCGCTCCTTAGTTACGAAACGAAAAGCGATCTTTTTGCTGTTCTTTGTGTGGACTGCAGCTTCATTCGTCGCGCTGATTCAGCTGTCATGGGTTGGTTTAGATGTTGATGTTAATGAAGAAAGCGATGCTTTCACCAAAAAGATGAGTGTGATCTACGACGTTGTTTGTATCGCCCTGTTTTTTATCCTACCGCTTATAGCCATGGCATTCTGCTACTGGAAAATATTTATTGCTTTAAAGGAACAGCTGCGCGCAATAAAGAAGAACATCCCAGCATCCATGCCTAGTTATCACTCGAACAAGCAGGAAAGGCGCGCTGCTCTAACCTTCATCGGGATGATCGCCGTTTACATCTTTTGCTGGCTTCCCTTTTTCATGCTCAATCTCCAGCACCAATTAGGCAACGAATTTTTCACTCTTCCCATTCCAGTTGAATATGCGCTATTTTACTACCCGAGGTTTCTAAACTCTGCTTTGAATCCATTACTTTACGTAGCTTTCAATCATGACTTTCGGCAAGCAGTCCAAAAGCTACGAGGGAAAGAACAAGGAAAGAAAAGATCTCCCACACTAAGTTTACAGAATACTATTGGGAGAAGCTTTCCAGCAGCGTCAAGTCTCCGTAGCGTTCGAACACCTAGCTATTAAGCAGAACCGTATTTAAAGAAGTAAACGGCAGACTATGGCTATGTTCCCATGATACCTTTCCGATATGTGACGCTCCACTTTCAAGATCGGCGAGGCGCAGCTTCGCTCTGTTACAGAAATTGCGCCGAAATCACCGTTGTTGTGTGCTGGTTTTTGTGCCGACACAAAAAGCTAATTGTATAGTATGCACACCTAACCGGTGTCTCTCCACTTTAGGGATCGGTACGGCGCAACTTCGCTCCGTTGCAGAAATCGCGTCAAAATAACCGTTTTTATTTGTGAACAGAAGCCCTATCCAGTAGGGCTTTCGCGCCGGCTCAAATGCTACACGGTATAGTGTGAGCATAGCCTTAGAATACGTACTTTAGTCGCCCCTCACTGCTCCTCGTCTCTCCCCAGCGACAGGGACCGGTCAGGGTAAGAGGCGATTTTATTCGCAGAGAGTTTAGAGTTTGTTACGTTGCGATAAATCAGCTGCTTACGCCTGCTTATATTGCATTTTCAACTTTTTATTTCCCCTGCTAATTTCTAATAATTTACGACAGCACTTCATATGAATTACGCAAAATTTGTACATCAAAGTTGTGTTAGTTATGAGCCACATGACGATGACTCCAATAGCCCGTCGCTTGTCAGTGTCTTTTTACTGCAGACCAACAGGAGCTGTAGCCTCAAGACGATCAGAACTAGCCGACCATAGAACTAGAACAGACGATAAAGAGCCCTGAGGGATTAATCATTGCTAGAACTGACAGGAACCATTTATCCCAAACTTTCTGTACGTATATCATTAAGTTTATGAGGCAGCAAATTGAAGTATTTGAAATAAACGGCACTCTTCTCTTAACTGACCGATGAACTTGAAAATTTAAGTTCTTGGATAGGTAGGAAAAAATGTTTTATTAGCCATATTGTTAATTAAATTCGACTTCAGATTCAAAATGTAACCTAAACATTCAGCTTCCGTTTGAGCGACTTGTACATTAATTAATTGTACTATTATTATTGAAAGCATATTACATGGCCCGTATTTTAAACTCTGCCTTTACGTAAAACGGATTAATACCTACAATTAAAGTCAAGCTTGTAACTGCTCAATATTTAGCAATATGTAGAAAATAAAACTAATGTTATAATCGAGTTATGTGTTTGCTGATTTCCATAATAACCCTTTTCAATTTAGTTGGAAAAGCAGAAGCCCATACTTGCAAAAGAAGTTCAGAATGAACTGTTTATCGCTCACAAATGACTTTATACCGTATTCAGGCTACATCTTCTCAGTAAATGTTTTTTGATACAGTAATATCGCGACAAAGTCCCCAAGGACACTTATTTTTTTCTTGCCTTTTTTTGAGAGGAGATCAGAGCTCATTGTATGGGAGGGAGGGAGGAGAGACTTTTTAAACAGGAGTGGACACAATGAATTTCGTGAATGAAATCAAAATCACGTATCGTAACGAAATCATGTATAGGGCAGTCAATCGGCTCTCATCAAGAGGAGGTAAAGGGGGAAGAGAATGCATCCGTCATACACGCCATTTTCCACAGGTAATTGGTCTCGAGGTGATTAGTGAGTTTACGCAACAGGACAGCAGGAAGAAGAGGACGGCAAAACGCTTGTGCGTGACACACGTGACAGGGCTATTACTTGCGTGTTTTGTCTTCATCTTCACTTAAACATTAATATTTTCTGGTCTTTTACAAAAAGATCTGTTTAAAGGAAGGTGAAGTTTGGCGGAAAGCTTTTTCAAGCAAAATTATTCTCTCGCTTGTCACACATGGTTTGCTGTCTTCTTTCCTCTCCAGTCCTGTTGCGTAAGTTCACTATTTTAGAACTACTCCTAGACAGCTGGTCTAAAGTGGATCAATAACCCAAATCCCAATTTATGGATTTCTATTAAAAACGTGACATGTTATAGGATATGTTTTCTATTTTTTCTTCGCTCGGGCTCCGTACTCGCTAGAAAAATAAAAGACCGTATAAGCCAGTTAATTCAACGAACTTTTTTAAATTTTATTTTAATAATAAAAAGAGATATGAAAATACCTCTTTACTTTTGTTTACACAATGTATAAATTAGGGCACACGTCCTTTAATTTTAGGGTGCATGCGAGGTACAAGAGCGACTATACAAGCCAGTATGGTGGTACATTATATGTACTTATACACAACCCAACTTCCTTATCGCTACGTATAGTGTCTGCCGCTGGTCGTAATTCTCTCCTTCATTTCATGACGTCAGATCGTCCTTTGTTAGAGCATACACGTCTATCTTATCAGGATGAAACCACGGGAAAACTTATGGATCATTATTTCTTTTTTTTACTTCTAACGACCTGCATTTCTTCTGGCGATCAATTAAATCAGCGAAGGATTGGTAAGCATAGCATGCCGTCATAACATTCTATTGCACAGTCATCCATCTTCCGAAACTGAAAATTTCACTTAGGTGCGATGGATTGTTCGGATCCAGTCACAAATTCGGAATTTAAATTACATTTCTCTGAAGTCTGATAAAAATTCATCTCAATCACAAGCAACTTCGCTTGAGCGGTCTTGCAATATCAATCTATTATTTCTATAGCACGCTGCAGTCAAGCGCTCGAGTAATGAATAAACCCGTTTTCTTGCTTGTTGTGACACGTCCACATTACCCAAACATATTTTTTAGTGGTCTTTTCAACTGACTAGCATTATATCGCCTTACTGAAAGGCTATCTTGATCCAGAAAAGAGAAAAGTTATGGAGTCAATATTTCAAGTTAATCAGAGCAACTTTGAACACTGAAAATTTGAATATTAATCGCCAGACAACACTGGTCAGCTTAAACAATGTTTTGTTTGCCTCACGTCAATATTTTCACCTTAACCTGGGCACTGCATGAGACTTGTTAGTTTTAGAAAGAACATTCCGGTTTCTAAACAATTTTACGCGATGTGATACGATTTTTACTTTGACCAGTTGAAACAAAAATCTCTTTGTTTTTCGGATTTGTTTTGACGGTCACGCGTCGATTCACTTATTGATCGATTGATACATGCACCTGTGTTTTTACCACATGGCGCTCGTCTGACTCGCAACACTTACTGGCTGACGGACCTATATAATATTCAAACCTTTTTGCCAAGAACTGCATGTCATAACGAAGAAGGAAATTCTTGGAAATAGGTTGTAATTTGCTTTTTCGTCTTACATTCAGGCTTTGCTATCGCGGCTACTGAAGCTTGACGCGTTGTGAATTCCAAAATTTGCTTCTAACACAAGTCAATTAAACAGTAAACTAATAATGCACCTCATTTATTCATTTAACTTCCATATCTGGCAACGTATTGAAAAGTTTATTGCTAGATTGCTATAAACGCCCCTTGAAATACGCGTTGACTGACTCTGACCGTGTGTGGCCTGGCCTCTATATATATGGCAGTCTTTTGGCCTCACTCGACCTGCTCAATCCGATTTCAGCCAAGCATTTCCGTCGTTAACAGGTCCTGTTCAAAGATTTTATGTGCTAAATTGTGTAAATCATGACCTCAGCAAAGTAAGAATGAAAGAATGAAATTAAGATATAATTTAATCGTTCCCAGAGGCGAAGTGGCAGTCGTGTAGATGATATTTATTGTAACGTCTACATTTTCCTGCTCGGGACAATGCCAAACAAATGTTACCGTAGACGACGATGTGGGCGCCCTTGTTTTCTTGTAATATTTTTTTAGAGAGAAACAGTAAATGAATGAGTGGGGTTGATAAACTTTAGAGATAGTTGCCTAGAGAGCTGGCCTTTGCGTCAAGATGGCCGGTGGCTGGTGCATGGCTGATTTTTTTATTTTTATATCTTTTGCACAGGATTTTAAATGTTCCTTACCTCTTCATCCTGCATTAGGGAGAATAGAGCAATTGAAATTTAAAGCCATAAGCCTGAGGGGCGTAGCTACCTGTACGCACGATAATAAATGAGAAAGGTAATTATTAAAAAAGAAAGAAAACAATAAATAACGATAACACAGGGCACCCAGACTTACAACAGCCCACTGGAAGCCAAATTGCGAGGACTTCTATGCGAATTTAATGCAAAATCGATAAAACGGTTAAAATGCAATAAGCAGACATTAACATGTACAAACCTCATATCATAGAGAGTTGCGTCTGTGTTGCTGTTGTTGTCCGGGCTTTTAGCCAGTTTTAATGTTTTGGTTCCTCATCTACTAACAAGAAGACAAGAGAAAACTCGACTGTCCTACCCTGCCCAAAGAAAAAGCTCCAAAAAATTACCCTCATTCCACTTCAATTGCTCCAAATCTTCGTTTGAGCATAGACCAAAGATTTTCCTTCCTTGAAAAGGTCAATTTAGTTCCAAACATTTGTTTTTTACGCGGTTTGGATGCGAGAATCGTAAGGGTGAAGTTAGGAGATACGCAAATTCAGTTTTGCCGCTGACCAGCCTATCAGCCTTCCAAGCAGTGGATTTCTGGTTATGATCCGATGCTTCTTACAAATTGCTTCCAGAAGAGGTTGATCTTCTATTAGACTTCCGTTTTCCAGTTAGATGGTATGTCGGTGGTATGAAAGTCAGTTGTCTCTTCACTTTTTCCTTTTTGTTTTTTTTTTTTTTTTGAGGACCGAACGATTGTCCCGAGTCAAACAAAAATGGGCTTTGACAGCCATCTTTCAATCAATATGTGTTAGGATACCCACGTGCCTCTAGGCGTAGTTTGAAGTCTGCAGGGTTTTCTTCCAAGTAGTTTTCTAAGAGTTAGTTCTATGCCATCTTGTTTCTTCACCTTTGATACAGTCCGCACTCTTTACCCAGGAAGGTTACAACTTATTTAGTTACGTCATTTCATAGACAACAAAAACACTAAGGCTTAAAGGTACCCTCAAATCTCATAAAGGCACCTAACTAGAAAAGAGCGGCGGAGGAGAGGGGATTTGGAAAATTGTGCATACCTCGTGAAAAATCCTGGCTACGTCCCAGGTAAGATTCTGGTTTAAATCAAATATAGTTGGAGATAAATTCACATAATTTGTTCATGTACACACTGGACCAACGATACATTAGCGCTGGTGGAAATGGGACTTATTTTCTTAACCACGGTGCGTTTGCTTGTTTGTTCGCGAGTAGAGTTCTTATTTCAAGATCACAGATATGCATTTATTTCCTTCTAACCTAACCCTTCAACAATCTTGTTTTAGTCCTAGGAAAAAGGAAAGTAATATCCACAGACAAATAATGGAATATCCAAGGTAAACTTTGTTAAACGTCACATCTCGTTATTTCTGCATGATGTATGGTTCAATCCACTTTACATAGAAAAATAATTATTATTGTATCGTGCTGGAACAATGCCAATGTATAACATATGTTGATTTTCAGTTTTGTGACACGTGATCCTCCTCTTGAAGATTTGCCTTTTCCAATACCACAGGTTTGTGTCATTTCATTGAAATACATGTAAATACCGAGACGTTCTAAAAATGTTGCAAAAATAAATAATAAAATAAATTAATAAATAAAGGAATAAGTAAAGAAAAAATCTTCAAAAGCTTCAAACCTTTTTTGCCATACAATAAATAATCCCTTATTGACCGAGCTCGTTCTGTCGAGATGCTGGAAATTGGCCTCGTTATTTTTTGCTCTTTCATCGACTTTGACTTTTTCTTGGTCCAGTAGAAAGCAAAAAAAGAACTTGGTGAATATCAAGCCATCTTGACCTGATGCTTGGTCAATAACGCATTATTATATGTTACCATCTTCAAATGCGAAAATGCGAATTATCCCTTGCGCCCAGATTCTTAAGATTTCAACCCAAAGAAATTTAACATCTTTGAATTCCCGGCCTTTATACACCAGGCTCTTTATGCATCTATTCTCGTGTCATCCAACATCGATGATACCCTGTCCAACGCTGAACAGCTTATGGTGCTTAGAGATTATCGCACAGCCGCAGCACTCTTCACTGTAGCACAAAAGCGACTTGGAGATCTCGCTTCTCATCAGGCGGTGGCTGATTTGTTGTGCAAACGAGCTGAATGTTTACTTCTCATGGTAAGCGAGGTGTTTTTTTAAGATGTTTAACATTCATTTAAAGAACGTGATGACAAACCACACAACGTAAATTATGTAGAAAGGACTGCTGGAGACGTAATTGTTGACTCGTAGGGTACTTCAGACTCGCAAATTTTATTCCCTACAAAACAAGTACAGCTAACGAAACGACAACTCAAAAGATTGCAGTAAAGCAAAGCTATGTAAACTTACAGATGAAAACGCGAGATGAACACACAAATAGCTTAAATCGGTCCGCGTACTGCTTACAGTGCCTCCCAATGCTGTTTACCTGAATTACGCGTCGCTTAGCGCACATGATACTAAAAGAATTCAACAATGATGTCATGAAATAGTTTCGAAATGACATTCTTTTTATCTCTTTTTTTCTTGTTTGCTTGACTATGTATTGGCCAGTATGCTTGCGTGTTACCTGTTACTACATTAGTTTGCTATTATATTACTAGAAGAAATTGCAGATTAACAAACTCATCTTCTTTAACTGATGTTATTTCAGAATTATGTTCAACACGTTATACGAGATTGCCAAGTAGGTGGGTCTCATTTAGTTGAATAAAATCACTTTTGATGAGCAAAGTACACTTGCCACGACAGCTTTTAATAGTAATGTCAAATTAGGCTGTTTCGTAAAGCAAGATATAATAATTTGGGCTTGCCAAAATTCCTTTATTCTTCCTAGCTTAGAATCAGCGACTTTGTGTCTTTTGCAAAATCAACACTAGTACAGTCTCTTCATATCTTTTGATTATCAAGACTTCATATCTAACATAAAGTACAGCCCGAAAATTGAGTATAGTAGCACACGTTCACAGATTTCTTAATTTCCTACAGTAGATAGTTAGAGTAATTTCTTGGATTCCGCAGTATTAAAATTTGGCAAAGCATTTTTCAAGTACACTTGGCGTGTCTTATGGACCCTAAACACTTCAGTTAAAAGAGGTACTATGACACTTTATGAAGACATTTCGTAAATCCCCTTTATACACTATACCCTACCTTATATACCCTCTTTACTTGAACACTTTGATTTCAACAGCTTTGCTAGTTTTTCAACGTTATGAATTATTTGGTACCTTTAAGAGATCGTGGTTTTTTAATCCTATCTTACGCCACCCCAGCTTTCCTGTCGTTCAATCCAACCCCATTAATAATTATAACTTATTGCACTATTTTTGTTGACTTTGGTTTAGCAAATAGTATGATCGGCAGGGTTAACGAACACATCGCATTTCTACTGTTCCGCGCATTTGAAATGCAAGGGGAAGTAGAGGAAGCCTTTGGATATGCAGTCATATACAAAGCCCTTGATCCTCAGGTAACGTTTGGCTTAATACTGTGCCACATGTACAGAATAAATAGCTATCCAATTTTGAGTCCCTAATGGCGGAGCTGTACGCACGCGCGAAGAGCGCGCGAGTTTTTTTTGCTGGGGAAAACACCGACTGTTTGGACTTGACAGGATAATCTTGCAAAACCAAAATTGTTTCTCAGTCCCTGGTTAACAAATCTTGGAGCGACCCTTTTCTGATCCCAAATGTCTATTTTTTGTTTTCTTAGATGGAGAGAGATAGAGATTCTGTAAGCAGACTAAGAAAAAGGGTAATGTGGCTGTGTGGCCAGGTGAGGTCCGGGTTCCATCCTGGGTTGCGATCTTCTTTCTGTTTAATATAAATACTCTCGATAACGGGTCTTAGAAAATGGAAGCGCAATCGTTTACGAAAGGGACATTTTCGCCTCCGCAAAGAATCAAGGGAGTAAGCATACGTAAGACAGCTAATGTCAAGACTTTTCTTCCTTGGCGTGCGTAAAATAATGCTTTGCTGTTGTTTTTACACGCGTTAGAACTGAACAAGAAATGGACCCCATTGGCCACAACACTTAGCGGTACACTTTACAACATGAATGAATAACGAAAGGGATCACCTCTGTCCCTTTCAGAAGGGCCATAGCTAGCAAGAGGCAAGACGAGGCACTTGCCTAATAACTAGTTTCTTTCATTAACTGGGCCACAAGGATTGTCTTTACCCGCATTGTTTTGCAATTTGCTCTGCTTTAGCCTTGTTCGATCTTTCTCTAAGAGCATCAGAGAAAAACATTGGAAAAACAAGACAATTACTTGAAGAATGAGAGTTAATGTTTCTAAAATTCATCTTGTAGGGTCACCACCAAATCCCCAGGACTATCGACATCTTGATGGAAAGGAGCAAGTTGTTATTTTCCAACAACGAAAAGGACGTAGCCCTGGACATTTTCACAGAGGTCTTGGAACTCTCACCTGGTTTTTTGGAAGCTCTCGAATACCGAGCAGAGTGTTACTTTTCCAAGGTAAGAAACAAATTCCCTTTTAATTTTTAATTCGATTTGCAAATTCTCATTTACGATCACTGACAAAATTAATACAATAACAATGTGACGTTCAGTGGTTAAAAATGATAGTAGCAACTTTCGTGCATCATTTGGAAAAATGCCTTTTATACTGAAACTTTTCCCTATAGAGTAGAGTAGCTGTTCATATACAGTACCAAATAGGCAGGAATTAGAATGAGATTAGACCGGAGGACTCGTTAAACACACCTATTCATAAGGACCTCATGTATTAAGGATAATATTCCCTGTCTAGTAGTAGACCTCCCCCTCTTCTAAACCTCTATTTTCATGGGTCTCCTATGACCTGCAACCTGCTATTGTGTTATTGTGTTTTTCATCAAACCAATGACCCTTAATATAGCGGATGTACTGCACATTCTGTATGTCGCATATAAGGATCAATATATAGCGATATAACTTGCAGCACAAGAAAAGCTACTAACTAATTTCTTTCAGAGTTAGCCCGATAACCCCTATATATACTAATCAAGGAATGAAGGCTGTTTTTTGATTCGGCTAGCCTAGTGACCAATAAAGTTCGACTTCTTTGTTGTGAACGTGACCTGTGATAATGGTAGAGTAATGTGCTCCTAAATTTCAAAAACTGTCGTGAAAGTTAGTGTACTTTTAAAAGATTTATATCAGGAAAAAAATCAATTAACGAACAAAATTTAGCACTGTTATGTTTTTGACATGAAAACTGCAAGAAGTATTCTTGATCCTCTACGTTAATGTTGTATTTTTTCTTTAGGGCGCTCTTGCAGAGGCAAATCATGATTGCGATCGAGGTAAAGTGGAAAACAGAAGTTATATAATATCAAAGAATAACTTTCAGAAGTCCGATTTCCATGATCTTCGAGAGTGAAGGAAATGGAAAATTGTGGCCGATTGGTTTGCTTCTTTGTTCGTTTTTTCAACAATACCACAAATGTTTTTGAACGACAACAGGCCCGATTTCTAGGAAAGTCGCGTGCGCACGATCGAGAGAAAAACAATTGTCAGTCTTTGTGTTATTTCCAGTGCGATTGCATGAGGATTAGCTCTCGACCAGTGAGCTTGCTCAGTTAACTCACTAGGTCATATTTTAAAGTACAGTGTATGATAGATAGAAAGAGGAAAGAAAATACAAACAGCAAATTTTTTGAACAGCTTAGAAGTCTTTCAGTCCACATCTTTGTCGAAGATGTTTGAAAATAAGCTTGTTACGCAATATTCTCGCTAGGATGCCTAGAACGAGATCAAATTTTCCCCAAATGTAAATCGTGCGATCGTCTTGTGCCGTAAAGCATATTCTAGGTCACATGACACGTCACATGGCCAAAAATTAAAAATGAAGCAAATCGGCGAATTAGTGGCGAATTTACTTTCCATGGCTAGATAAACTGGCGTTTCTGATAGACTAACACATTTATCTTTCTGTGTTTGGAATGAATGCACTCGAAGTTTAGAATTAAAGTTTAACAGTATTGAAGGTTAAACGTGCATCCTAGATAGGATGTTTGCCCTTTTTATATTGAAGAACAATCAGTACCAGTTTTATTGAAGTGCAAAAGGAAGCGTTAGATCAAAAATATTTAATACGAAGCAGTATTACGGTTGTTACCATCAGCAATTTGTCAATCGTCTATGACTTTTTTGACTTAAATTGGCGCACTTATAGTAATTTGTTAAGGTCGAGAAGGTCTTTTTGTGTACCAATATATATTCAGTTCCATTCTTTTTGCCGAAGTTATAGCAATATCTCTATTGGACCCAGGCCTTAAACTACTTAATTTTTACTTAAAATATGTTAAGCAAATATAAAATTGAATTTAATTGAAAGTTATCAACATTAGTAATTATTGAACCTTTGATGGGATCCTCATTTTTATTAGATCCCAGGGTGCGTTTGTTGTTTTGTATTCTGAAAAAAAGGAAAAATTCCTTCTCATTCTGGACTACGATCACTTCAACGTGCTTTTAATTCCATTATCCTTAGCATTCGCACTGATAATTAACTACCAGAGAGCTTAATAACATTACTAGTCGAGGAGCAGATTTCAAAAGGAGACCCGGTAAAAGGGTGACGCGGCATTCTCACCACACAAGAGGTTTGACCACAGGTTCTGCAGATAATCGATAAATATAATCGGATCTTATGAAATTGTGGGGTCAGTTCAGACTTGGTACGCTGCGATTTCTGATGGATTAGTCGGGGTATTTTGAAACATGACCCGTAAACTTTAAAATTTCTCGCGTTAAATGAGCGTGATTTAATGGTATGTTTGTGCCAATGTACCATTTCTGTGGTACTATCGATGTAAAAAAAAAAAAAATCTTGACGGTCTGTTCATAATTTTGCCTTCAGTTAGTACTTAAACGTCACACATTATTGTGATGTGTCCTAAACAGAAAAATATCGCTTGTGCCCGTTTTTCAGCTCTACTCCTTTCTCAGCGTACAAGCGCAGCTGCGTTTGAGACAAAAATCAAGATCAAAATTCAATTTGACGAACTTGAAGAGGCTTTGGAGCTCCTGAAGGAATGGCGGATCATTGACCCCGAGGTGAGATTCCATGATTTTAAACAGCCTGCAGGTGATGTTGGTTGTTATTTCCACGTCATTCTATGAATTATACTTCAACATGGTTGAACTTTCATTTTCTTGCAATCGCCAATGATGACTTAAGAAAAAGAAATAGACCTTTTCACTTTTCGGAGTTGCCTCCAGCCTCTCTTTTCAGGACGACGCTAAGTTTGAAGTCGTTGACACAAAAATAGCGGTCTAATCCATCGAGGCGGGGTGTACAGTGTCCTGAATAAGTGCTTAAATTAACATTAGTTTTACTTGAATAAAGTCCTGTTTTTAAACCGTAGGCCCCAACCTTACCCAAACGTTCCTGGAAACCGGCGTGCTGTAAACAAAGAATTAGCTCCGTTTTAATTTATTCTCAATTCAATAGATTATAGCATGAAATTTGCATCAGAACTTTAAAAGGTTCTTTAAAGTAAGGTGGCTGGATTACCTAGAATTTGGAAGGAGATGTGAATCTTTGTGCCGCCATTTTCTGGAAACAAGCTGTGATAGTAAATTTTATCTGACAATCTTTATTTGCTCGCATACATGTGGAAAATTCTCTAAAATCATGTGACAAAAAAGCTTACCAAAACTGAACTAAGTGAACACGCCATTTTTTGATGAGGAAATATCGCTATCTTTGAAAAGTTGTTTGGGTACACGACTAGAGTTGACAGCCCTTCTAAGTTTCCCCTTCTCAGTGCAGGTGAATTTCTGCCGTCATACCTGTCATACATGGTTTTGCTCTTTTCAGAGTCATTTTTGCTGCGTGTAAACGCTTCTTTAACATAGAATTTAACAAGTTATGTAGTGAACACCTCTGAACTCTCTAATTAAATGGTCAGGTACTATTTTTCTAGCATTTATATTTTCCATCTTTCTATATTTTGTTATTTTACCATAAAGAACGAGAAACTTGACAGTATCGAAATGGAGATTAAAGACTGGATTGGGGACAGGCAATCTCGCAAGACCGCCGTCATCAGCAAGTCACAGTCAGTAAGATATACTTTTTAACCATCGCCCTCTTGGAATTTAAGTTAGTCAAGCATCCCTGACATAGCTGGCAAATCAGACTGAAAAAAGTAACGTGAAAACAGGAAAGCATACTAGCAAAGACAAAGTAATTATAAATTATTACCATGTTTTTCACTGTAGTTCTTTCGTTGTTTTTGTATTGGCTTAGCTTTTAGATTTATCCGTCACGGGACATGAATCCGACGACGGAGATGAAACACCAAAAAAGCAGAAAGTTAGGAAACCTCCCATACGAGCGTCCAGGCGGTGTAGCGGTGCTAAGGTTAGGGAGTTAAAATAATTCGTTAAGCATAGCAAGGGGTAAAGAGATTATTCAAGAGCAAAGTGGCAAGCTCATATTGATTGAATTGTACACTAACATAGCCTTTTGCCTTTTGTGATGACTGCAAGAGTCTCCCAGCACAATTTTTCTCTAAGCACACTTCCGCTGCTATCATAGCTTTCCCTAAGAATGACCCTTGCCACACGGTTTTTTAGTTTCTGCACTTTTGAAGATAAGTGATTGCTGAGTCCATCCTAGACTACATTACAATGATCAAAGTTGGGTAGATCTAGTGCTTTATAGCTTCCTTCTGGCTGACAAAGGGTCTTTCCCCTTTAAGGGCGCTTATCGCTGAAGTGACTTTTTTACATAATTGCTCGATTTCTCTCTTCAAGAGAGCCGGTCATCTGAAACATTTAGAAATGTTAGCTGTTGTTGTCGACGACGATCACGAAATTCGGAGATCATAGCCATGAAGAAGGAGAGACTCTCACTCAGTAAACACGAATGTCCGAAGTGTTGTCTATTTGCAGTCTTCTCATAACTTTCGGGCCGTGAATTACGAGGCTGCAGAATAATGTTGGGTCAGCGACTTTAGTAGGAAGAAGTTTTCTTGTGACGTACTGTTACTATTAAGTCTTGCTTTTATTTTATAGGCAAAAAGCAACAGCGATTTGAAATGGGAAGAGTGGAAGAGAGAAAAGGTGACGAAACGTGAAAACCGTAATCATAAGGCCAAAGTTGCTTCTATGGTCTTTAACGTAAATGACTAACGTGCATCATTTTAAATGTATTCAGTACCATGATGAACGGATAAAAGCGTTCAAGTTTGGAGCCGTGTTGTTTTAAGACCCATCTACCAATGGAAATTGGTGTACCTGCTCTGAAGATTGCGCGTACGAATCATCGTCCTCTGATGCAGTTTGGGGATGGGTTACAGGAAAAGCTAAATGATTTCAAGTCTGATTGAAGGTGTTTTCTTTGTACCGCAGGAGCGCGAGGAGATAGCTCGAGAATTGGCAGAAAGGCAGAGGGAAAACGAAAATAAATGCCAAACGGTATGTCGCTCTTTCTAAGTGTTCTTTTAAAACTTTGAAACAAGTTAGAGTGTGGGGTTAGTATTACTCTAAAATACTTGCTAGAAACACAAAGTTAAGAGACTTTCGATCTGGTGTTTCAATCTGTTGTTAACTTTTTTTCATATCTCAGACTGAACGGGCCTACCGCTCTTGTTGTCATAGGCCAACGCTAACGCGGCTTAATTCTTGGCATTTTTGTCCCAAATGAGAGATTCGGGAGTCTAGATTGTTACAAAAAGAAAAGAGAAAATGGACCCCGGATTGTTTGCCGCTTGTTTTAAATCTGAAAATAACCCGCAACAATGAACAACAAAGATAAAGGGAAAGAAATGATATATTCTCTCCTGTTAGAGACTGATGCCAAGAGAAAGTCAGACAGTGGACGAGAAGAAGTAACTTGTCATGTGCCAGCGTTAATTTGCCAGTAAATAACGAACAACGTAACTAGAATTCCCCACAGAATCCTATCAATATTGAAACTTAGCCGTGAGCTGCGTGCAAGAACAAGAACAACAAGAACAACAAGAAATATTATTGAGATTCAAACTACACGTAATTACATTATTTTCCCACCCAAATGGCGAAAACAAAGCTTTTAAAAGATCAAAAGTAACAACAAGCCATAGCGGACCAGCTGCGGGAAGCGGCAAGAAATTAAGCATAATTAGGGACGGACCATTAGAAAACTTATGGGGGGGGGGGGGTACAAAAAATTCAAAAAAAAAATTAAATGAAAAAAATTCTTGCACGCCAAGTAATCCCAAAAAATATTTGTGCTATGGCCTAAAAAAAAATTCATACAATGAATTTGATAACGAAAAAAATTCCTCCGGCTCGAAAATTCCCGTCCCTCCCATAACTTTTCTAATGGTCCGTCCCTTAACATCCATATAGCAAAGGAAATGTTAGTATTTGACACAGAAGTGGATCAGCATGGACGTTGAGGTTTTCCCTGTTAATACTTTCTTTTATTAATATTGAGGATGTCTAACTTAGAATCAAATGAAAGGGTAATAAGCAATGGACCAATGTTGCCCTTTATTGGTGCTATTGTTATTCATGTGAATGTTAAGTGTTATACTGGTTGCTTTCTCATAAAAGGCTAAAGCTGATGAGCAAATAGGAGCAATTCAAGGTGAACCAAACGAAAAGTCAGAAGGTAATATAATGTAACTATATAACTTTCAGACACTAGTTTTCTCTTTCTTGGCACTTTCTAAGTAGACCGGAATTTATGTTTATGGTAACCTAATTATAGGATCAGTTTTTTTTCAACAGAGAGCTACACCAAGCAAAAACTGTCTAGGTTCTTTTGTACGCATCTTTATCAAAGCCTCAAAGCGGCTAAGCCATTTGTGCATCAAGTCTAAGATTGTTCTTCCTCCGCATGATCAGATTCAGGGTAATAAATAACAGCAAGGAATTTCAATGGTTTTATTGTCACCCTTTCTTTCTTAGGAGCCCTGACAAAGGAGCACACGACACCATCTATGGCGCCACCGCCTTTACCTTCAGGTACGAGGCCTTGATTTTGTGTTCTGATACGAACCGGGTAGAAATAAGGCTTGCCACGAATTCTACCGATAAACGTTGGACAATACCAAGAGTCATAATAGGATGATCTCATGACAATACCCCCATTAAACTGTTTGAACTGATCAAATTCTACCCTAATGATTCTCATCGTGGCTGGAGAGCACATTTTAAGGCCTATCAGGTACTCGTTTTCTTTTCGTTAATCAAAACATCGCAAGGAGATGTCAGATCAAAGTTTTTTTTGTTGTAAAGAAGTACTCTGAGCATGGTTTAGGAATACTATTGGATCGAAGAATGTTAACTTCGATAGATTTGAAAACAAATTTCTTTGCCTGCAAATTTCCAAATTTCAAATGAATATCTAAGAAAATATTTTCTTTTGTCATCCTTTTAAGAATCAACATGGTTTTTGTTTTCTGTTCAGCAGTGGCGGCAACGAAACGACCTCATAAACTGACTCTAAGGGTTGATTTCCAGGGTCGCGTAATTTCGTACGTGGCTGCGTACGTGCGTAAAATTTGTATTCGCAAATAAATAGAGCCAATGCAGGAAAGGTCGCTCGTGAGCGTAAAAGTTGAACCTCGCTCAACTTCTCTTGTAAGCTCACCACTTCTTATCTTGCCTCTATCTTATTTACGGGGCGCCCGAACTAAGGGCTTAAAATTTACGCGCGTTAACGTGCGTAAATTTTAATCGCGTCAGTGGAAATCAACTTTTAAGAATGGCTGCGCGCGGAAAAACAAAAAGTCGAAAATAAGCTTTTTTTTTCATACCAAGAGAGAATTCTCTCTTGTCCATACCCATGCCCATTTTAATCAGAAAGTAAAAATTTCTTTCCAACTGCTAGCAACAGAATTGGCTGTTTGGCTATATTTCAAGTATCTAACGCAAGAGAGAATCATTCTCTCTTGCTAACGTTAGTTTTATGCAGCACTTTTTATTGCAGGCCGGGTCGGCAACATTAAACGTGATTTGTGGTTTTAAAAGCTGTTCAATTAAACCGCGCAGTTATAGTTTGATACTTAAATAGCACTGGTCATAATTGAGGATGTCTTGTGTAATATCTATTTACAGGTCCTTTGTTTTCAGCCCGAACTAAGAAAAGAAGGGTTAGACGAAAGACTAGAAATTTAAGAGCCAAAAGAGAAGGTGAGACATTTTTTGTGCTTTTGTGTACAGGGGATTGTTGCTACTTGCACCATAAGGCCTGTGGCATTCGCGCTTTCGTGTTGCCTGATTCTTGTATTCAAAGTCATACGTATTAGAAAAAGTTACAGTCCATTGACTTAGCCAGAATGCAATTTTGTACCATTTTTGGTTGCTTAAGATCGATGCTTCTTGTTTAGTTCATAACTCACATGGCATGTTATATGCCTGCGAATATATGCACCCATCTCTCATCTTTCCCCACCGCTAGCTTTGAACCTAAGGCAGCTAGTTACGACTGAGGTCCATTTAACCTCTCCTTTTTTAATGCCTTTTTTCTCTAACATACTAGGAGCTGATGATGACTCTGATGCTAGCAGTGTTTGTAGCATAAGTACCTGTCCTGGTGATCTTGGTTTTAGAGGAGGCACACAATATCGCCCAAAGATGCCTACTTTTCCGGACATTAGCGTACGCGCTGTCAGTGAACAACCCAGATCTGGACCTGGTCAAGAGCAGACTCAGAAGACATCGTTGAAAACCTCGCATGGACAGAACTATGTAATTCGTTCTAGGCCGGCTGGAGTCTACGGTCCCTACATGCTCTGTGCGTTTATAAAGCGAAAGCAACCTTGTTTTCAAGGCAAGCTGTGTCAATTTGCACACAGTGAAGAGGAAAGGATTGCTTGGGAGGAAGATCGGAAAAAAGGTACTTGAAGTGGCCTTAGAAACGGTCACGGACTTTTGCCTTTTATTTTTAGCATCATAAATCAATCAACTGATTGATTAGCACCCAAAGAAAACTTACATTTATGGAATGAAGTTTTGGAGTCGTCATGACTCCATTTTTCAAGTTCAAGCGGTTTATAGTTACATACAATATGCTCATACATATGCTCATCGGCTTTCGGAGTCTGAGCTTAACTTTTATTAGATTAATTACTGCTTTTGCCCAACCGAAGCGACCTAAAGGATTATAAATAATGTTCTTCCAGAGTGGATTAGTTCGAAAATGTTGAAATATTGTTCTCGTGTGAACAGCCAATAAACAGCCTACCTTATATTCTCGCGTATACATGATGTAACTCACCAGTGTGAAGGAAGCATTAATGCATGACTGTTTTCTCTTTTATCCCTTTAGCGTCTAGAAAACATTCATCCAGGAGAGAAAATAGTAAAAGAGAGAAGGAAAGTGAAGGCCCCTCTTCTTTACTAAAAGAATGGCGTCAACAATTTAGAGGGCCCTGCCGAGCACCTTGGCATATTCCCAGAAAAGGTCAAAAATACAAACTGTGTCCTAAGTAAGTGTCAATAGCTTTCTTATCAAGTCATAGTGATCCATTGGGTGAAGAAATACTATTATCTTGCTCGAAGGCGGCGATGAAATTGAAATTTCATTTTTCATCACCTTTCTCATCTATAAGCATTCTATTGCAAATTCATTCAACATTTCGCTTGTTCTAGCTTGCGAGCAGTCCCTCCTTTGTCGCCCCGCCGCCAGAGAGCCCCGGAGAGCTTGCTCGCAGGTTAGCCTGTTCCAATTTTTTTTTTTCGATCGAGCGTGGAGCTTAAAAAACAGTCGATAATGGACCTTTCTTTTTGGTATATAAAATTGCTGATAGCAAGAAACAACCTACTTGTCACTATTGTAAGACCATTGGTTAAAGTTCCGAGTTCAATTAATTTCCAGCTCTTTGTGCGTAGTTTTGTTACTTGATGAACGAGCAAAGTATTACAACTAATACAAACATTCTTTTTTTTATCATTCATGGCTAGTCAATTATTATTATTATTATTATTATTATTATTATTATTATTATTATTGCAAGTAAAACAAAAGACAAAAGAAAAAACCGTTATTTAAGAGAAAGAGTTACACCTACTCTCCTTGAACACGAAATGCAAAGATGCCTGAAACAAAGCAAGCAGTTGAATTGTACTTACTCTTAGGGTGTATAGTTTAGGGTTTCCTTTTCGAGATCGGTGCATATATGGCAACACGGTGACGTCATTGTAATATTTTAATTTCCTCAACTTGTGAGAAATCTTGACACTCGTCTTTGAAGCTGCTTGTAGGGTTTCAGTCTTCAGTGGTGGATACTTCCCTCTAGCCACCTCCACTTCGGTGAATAGTTGTTTTAGTATATACTAAAACAGTGAGTTAATTGAGCACAAAATGATGATTTCTAACTCATTTACTGTTGCCAACTATTACAATTTTGGCGCGCAATGACCAAACGGCCGTCACGTGTTCTTGTCCCTCTTTTGGTCTTGAAAAAAATACCTGCAAATTTTCTCTGCCGTGTGATGAAAGGTTGACTCTTTACAGCCCTCGGCCTAGTCTCCCGACTTTTTCGTCCATGTTCATTACCCCCTTAAATTTTAAATGCCGGACGTCAACTGGTTATTTTTAAATTGCCAACACATCTAAAACCTCAAATATGCTACTTGTTTTTAACTCCTTAATGAAATCTCGTCACAGCAACAAAAAAGCCTAATTCGGCGATTCTCACGTGATTGATGACATCATTATCTTAGATGTGACGTGGGAAGATATGTTATGGCAAATGTTATCTTGTTGTGGCCTGTCATTTTTTACTTCGGCGGAGCGCGAAGTAAAGGATTTGCGACGCTCAGGAATGTATCAAAGTTACAATTTTTTGACAAGATTGGGCAAGCAAAGTCTGTAGGTTTTCGGTTCTATTCGGCTATTTGACGAAGTGCGAGCCGAATTAGTTCGAGATGTCTCGAGATCACTTCGATTTCTTTGATCTATTCCTTAACTTTTTCGAGGAAGAAAGAATTATTATTTTGGCTTTCCCGGGGCTTGAACCGACTCACCTGTGTGACCTGTCAGATCAGAGGAGACTCTAAGTTGAGGGATTAGCCGATTGCGCTACTGCGATCCAAGGTTGTTTGGGATATGAAAAATAGTTATGAAGTGATGCACTAGTTTCGGAACAAGATTGGGCGTGCAAGTTCGTGACTTTTCGGCTTGTTTCAACTATTTCCCGAAATGAGACCGGACTACTTCGTGATATCTCGAAATCACTTCGAGTTTAGTCTTTAATTACTCGAGGAATAAATAGAGGATATTTCGTGGCCGCGCAGAGACACGAAATTTGTCTTCGAGTGTTGAAAAACATTTCACGAGTGAGCCCTCCTTTTGAACTGTTTTATGATGAATTTAAAGTTACAAAATGCTGCACAAAGACATTTTTGTCTTTGTTGAGTTTTACGTAGTAAAATTGCTTTCATGCGTTGCGTGACTTTCTCAAACGTTCTCTACGTTTTTGGATTATTCATGAATAATTAATTAGGGCTTGCTTACATTTCAGCGTGACTCAGCAGATTTGCATCAGTGACTGAAATCATAAAATTTGTCGAAAAGCCACTACTATTCCCCTGTTTGGTATTTTCTAGAACCTTATGTCAAACGGTATACAAGTTCCAAGCGAGTTCTTTTGACGAACTAAGTTTTTTCCCACGAGCTGGACTGCTGTGTTTAGTCAAGTGTGACGAAGGTCGATTTTCAGGTTCTGTGTTTACAAGTTCGCGGAAGTCGCTAGATATCTGAAGTTCAAGTGAGAGTTTGTTATCATTGGTAGAGGCTGTTTAGTTTTACTCAAAGTTCAAGTCAAGTTTGTGTTGGCGGATGCTGTGTTTTAAAGCTCTGTAAAGGCTATGCTCCTTTGGTGTTAAACTTCCTTGTGTTAATCCGACATCCCTGCTTGCTGATAGTCAGTGAATAATTATCCTCAAAACATTCGAACTCGTGACTTTGAGTTTTAGCTAATTCCATGCTCAACGTAATTGACTCCTTACCCATGCCTTACATATCTTTAATCAGTACATGAGACTGCTATGCTGTTTTTGAAGCCTTATGTGACGAAGAAAAATAGAGAATTCTTTTTTTAGAAGGATTTGTATGGAGTCATCAGAGCATAACTGGGCTAATATCTCGGAGACAATTTGTCCCGAAATGCTAGTTTTTGGCAAGTAGGCCTCTTGGATGTTGCTCTTTTCAGAATATCCTGACAAATCCCATAATTTCACAAATAAACACCTTACTCTTACCATATTTGATTTCGTACTATTCCTCCGCATTTACAATTACAGTTCCACAACCACGACGCCGAAGTGTACGTTCCGTAGCGTCTTGTCTACGTATAAAATTGTCAAAGTTGTAAATCGTTTAAAAAATGCCTCAAAGGATTCTGGGAGATTTTTTATGATAATTATAATTTACTTTTATAATTATTAAACATGTAAAAAGTAACGAGACAATGTTCCGACGTTTCGGCGACATCATGACGCCATTATCAAGGCCTAATGGAAATAAAAATGCGAGTTCAAAAGGAGTTAAAGTACTCTAAATTTTTATTTCCTTGATAATGGCGTCATGATGTCGCCGAAACGGTGTAACAGTCTCGTTACTTTTTACATGTTTATGTTTCTCAAAATCGTTCTTAATTATTATTTTTATAATTATTATACTGTTACTATAGGCCTATCATTACATAATGCAGGAAATGTTTCAGAGTCTTATTATTGTTGTTGTTGTTATTATTATTAATATTACCATTAATTAATTACTTATTTTTTGATGCATAATTCAAGTTGGATAAAACTTAAAGGAGTTTGTCCGCGAGCTAAAACATGTACTGGTGCTCATGGTGAAACGGAGCTTAAAGCGTGGAATGAACACTTGGAAAGAATGGGACACGAATTGCAAACACAAGAAAAAAAGAAAAATGAAGACTTCCCAGAAGAACGTGCAGAAGCTTCTACTCACAAGGTTAATAGCTGAAAGTTAATTATGCATTGTATATTCTCAGTCATGATTCAACGTTCTAATTTCTTTTTTTATTCATGCATATCCTAACAACACGACGTTCCTGAAGTCAAAAGTGAGCGTACAGCCTTTCAAAAAGAAAAGCAGCGGAATTCGTCCGCGGCCGTCCAATGTTTTTGGTGCCTACCGCATTTGTCCACAAATCCTTCATGGACGAGAATGTCATGTCGGTGACCTATGCAGTTTTGCTCACAGTGAAGCGGAGAGAAACGTTTGGGAACAAGACAGAAGAAAAGGTGACAAGAAAAAACAAAACAAACCAAAAAACATAATATGGAGCTAAACGACATTAGTGCTCGTAACGAAATGGACTTTTTTCACATCTTTCGTTTGTTATATCTTAATAGAAAATACACAGAGAGAACGATAATAGCACAATAACGATCTCATACTTTTTTTCTTTACTCCATCCTGGCGTACAAAGTGAAGGAAACCGATATCAAAATTACGAAACATTTCAACTCGCTGAACTTGATTTCCCCAAAGATGTCAACATGACAAAAACCTGCTTCGCAAAGACTCGCGGGAAGACCTTCCAATCCTACTTGATACCGGTTATCTGAAAATAATCAATGAAAAGACCAACAAAGTTACCCACTGCTGTGAAAAAATGTCGCCCACGATAAGATCACATTAAGATGTGCTTTTTTATTTTTTTTAGGAGGAAAGAAACAGACTGTTAAAAAAGATAAAAAGAGAGGAAGTTCTTCTTCCTTATTAAAAGAATGGCGTCAAGCGTTCAGAGGGCAGTGTCGAGCACCATGGAGGATTCCAAACAAAGGCCAAAAATACAGAATGTGTCCTGAGTGAGTGTCATTATTAAATCTAAGGGCCTGTTTACATGGAGTTGGGGGACCCTAGGTAGGTGAGGTAACCCGCTGAGGTGGGGTAACCAGCTGCCTGTCCTTATAATCTCTCATTTTGATAGGTGATACTTGGGGTCCCCCACCTCTATACAGGCCCTAAAACTTTCGGTAGTTACCGATCTTATCACAGACTTAATTTTACAAAAAGAGGTTTAGTCTTAGCATTCATAATGCAGGTACTACTTGGACTTAGCCTATTATCTTTCTGCTCTTTTTTGAAATAAATGAGTCACAAAATTAATGTACCTGAACTTCATTCGTTTTAAGAGTACTACTTTTGGTTTTTCTAACTAGTAAGTTTTTAAAATGTAGATCATATATAGAGAGGATGTTACACGGTGGCGAGAAGATATGAATTTTATTTTCCAGTGGCAAAACAATATTTTACGAACGAGCGCAGCGAGTGAGTAAAATATTGTTTTTGCCACGAAAATTATGTCATCGATAAACTCACGCGTGAGATTATGGAAAATAAACCACTCGAATCCCGAATGTAGTTTTTATGAATTTTACGAGTGGTACATTTTCCAGTAAAACACTCGTGTCTATATAATAAATATATATGCACCTAATTGCAATAAGGT